ATCTCTGCGAGTTGGGACTGAGAGTTTCAACACATGTGTTATGGCTTGCTGTGCACAGTACGCAAATTCCTGTGTCCCTTTTTGCTGCGCTGTCGACTCTTTGCTTGGTATGTTGGTGTCTGTATGGGCATGTCCAACTTGGCAGTGTCTGCAGTGTCCTTTAATGTCTATCCACTGTTTGTGAGACAAGTAAACTCCCAAACAAATTACCGAGCATGCCGCCATGGGCCTCTCTATCCACAGTCTATAATAATATATAATAATAATTATAATTGGAAAGCGTTGCAGAATATGCTAATTCTAAATGCTAATAATATTGATAATCATTTTCAACTGTTTATTGGAGTACTTATTTTGTAATTAAGTATAGGGACGTCATCAGTGCATGACAACCAAAACAGATGAGTGAGCTGCTGCAGGTTCCCACACATCAGCCTCAGCCAGCACCACCTCAAACAAGCCACCCTCCTGCAGGCAAAAAGTATGCTAACAGGAGGGTGCCAGCAAATATAAAAATTATGACATGTATGTGTGTATCCGTGTGTGTGTTTATATGTCTGTGTGTGTATCTGTGTGTATGTATCAGTGTGTGTCTGTATGTGCCAGTGTGTGTATATGAGGGTGTGTGTATCTGTGTGATAGTGTGTATTTGTCTCTGTGCACTTGCATGTATGTCGGTGTGTTTGTCTGTGGATCTGTATGTGTGTGAGTATTTGTATCAGTGTATATATGTGTATCAGTGTGTGGCAGTGTATACACACTCTGCAGCCTTGTGGGCGGACTAAGGGGCTGGCCTTGTGGACAGACTTAGGGGTGAATCCCAGGTGCCCATACCTTGAGCTGTGTAACGGGCCCCAAAATTTCAGATGGCAGCCCTGATTAAGGAAGAATGGTTTCAATAAAGTTTTGCTATCAAGAATATGCTCCATTATTGTTGTAAAAAGATGGTGTCTCTACCAAATACTAATACGTGTGATTTAAATACTCACAGGAAGTGGTCTGAAAAAAGTGTTTTACTTCTTCTTTAGATGCAATGTCACTTATATGATCATGAAATCCTTAACAGCTTCTTAGGGCAACATCTCTATGAAATATTACTGCAATCTTGTGTAAAATTTCAAAATTCCACTGACTGTTGTTGCAGGAAAAAATCAATGATTTGAAACTTTAACTGTAAAATGGAATGAGCACAAGAAATTAGATAGGCAAGGAGAAGGAGGTTAGTTTTACCTGTATGGATGCTAGACATGCATTCTGGTTTCTCCAATATTAATAAGTCTACATGGACAATGTTAGACTCCCACATAGACTTCCACATGGAGAATGTTAGTGAACAAGTTTTTAATCGGAAACCTTTTACCTGTGCTTGTGTGTGAAAAAAAGAATATCAGCTTTAATGACAGTATTACAGGCGCTACCACCTATACAGGGAAATGTGCCAAAATTAGACAGTTGCACTGCACTCCATGTAGCTCTGCAATTTGTTCCTTATTCTTTAGCTATATGGACTCAGTCAGGAAGGGGTTATTACTAATACCTTGATACATTGAGGCTGATTGTCCTCTCATACCTTTTGTATGTCCTTCCTCCGATCCAAAGAAACTCCTACGATGCTTCTATGGCCAGGTTAGAGTCTATTCTTAATTTTACATATGAACATTTTCCTTGACAACATTTTTTAATCTTTTAAACTCGGCATAAAGGCCTTGAGTTACTATTTTTGGATAAGCCTTTCAAATAATCAAATCTTTCAAATTATTCATCTACAGAAGTTACCATTTAAAAGACCACTATAGTGCCAGGAAAACAAACTTGTTTTCCTGGCACTAGAGGGTCTTTAGGTACCCCCACCCTCTGGGACCCACGCCCGCTGGGCTGAAGGGGGCTGAAGGGGTTAAAACATTTACCTTTCTCCAGCACTGGGCTCCTTTGGCGCTGGGGAACTCTCCTCCTCCTGCCGACGTCAGCGCCAAATGCAAGAGCCACGCACGTATTCAAACAGTCCATAGGAAAGCATTTCTTAATGCTTTCCTATAGACGTCCAGCGTCTTCTCACTGTGATTTTCACCGTGAGAAACGCAGAAGCGCCTCTAGCGGCTGTCAGTGAGACAACCTCTAGAGGCTGGATTAACCCTCAGTGTGAACATAGCAGTTTCTCTGAAACTGCTATGTTTACAGCTGCAGGGTTAACCCTAGATGGACCTGGCACCCAGACCACTTCATTGAGCTGAAGTGGTCTGGGTGCCTATAGTGGTCCTTTAAGTATTTTTTGGAGATAAATCATCAGATTGTGAATAATTGAAAAGCTTTATCCAAAAATATGAAATCGAGGCCATAATGTTTACACAATATATAACTCGAGGTTGTTGGCCTGCAAATTATGACATTGTAAGTTTATATTAGACTTGAGCACAGCGATTAGAAAAAAATTACTTTGACCGACCAAATTTCACTGATGCATCGGTCCTCCTCAGACTGAATGTCGTCTACACAACTATTCGGGCTGAACTGTTTACTGCCAAATCTATATGATATATAATCAATACATTAACGTTAAACACAGATCTGCATATACCAGGGAAGTCATAAGACTTACTTTTGACACAGAAATCTCAAATTTGCAGTGATGTTCCTACTGCAAGGGATTCTGGGTGGGCATTTGCAAATTAGCTCGACAAAGAATTACCTTTTTTCCTGATTATTCCATGTTATACATGTTTCCTTGGAGTTTATGTTTGCGGCATACAGAAGCTTTAAAAACACAACACAGGAAGAGATACAAAGTCAGTGAACCACTCATGGACAGCTGTTTTGTTGTTAATGTAACTCATCAGCGTGAGGTTAGTTACTGGCTTGCTATGGAGGCTTTAACAATATATTCTATTAGGAGTTTGCCAAACACCTAAAATCGCTCATCTTCACACAGCCCGCTATCAACCAGTCCCTGTGTCCAGCAATGTAAGCTGCAGTATTGGTAAGACGTTGGGATAAGTCTCACTTCTATTTTGTGTGATACTTTGTTATATCGCAGTGGACACATATCTAGCATATATTTGGATGAAAAGTTGATGCAAAGTTGAACCTGTCTATTGGAGTCAGAATTCTTCAACTGACTGTATTAAACCCCCATGTCTGTCAATCAGACAACAGGTCCTGTTACTTCCTGGTTTATTTAGCACGGTAGAGTTAAACTTAAGATGCAGTAATTGCCTTTAGATACTTCTCACTGAGCTGCATGGGGAAGTCTGTAATTTGAGTTAGCAGGGGAGGGCTTCAGACAAGAGATTCATGGCTTATGCAAGTTGTCTTTATATATACACCCAATTAAAAAAATGCTTAATTAAATGCATACATTTTTCATTGTGAGTATCAATACTAAATATCAATACTAAATATGGATTTTTTTTTTTTAATTGTTCTTTATTTTGGCACTGGAGTGTTCCTTTAAATAAGATTAAGGTGCACATAAATCAATTAAAAGAGGTATTTCATATGTTTTACTTGTTTATTTCCATTGTTTGCCTTATAACATGTTAGTGTGGGGTTCTTTTTGTTTCTTATTAAACATTGTAGTGAACAGAAAATCAAATTGCGTCAGCCACAGCAGACTTGGAAATAAAATCCAATTTCAGCTCTAGTCACAGATTGGCTACGTTATCCAAAATTATGCTGTTTGGTTATCAATTCATTATAATTCAATGTTCAGGGAATGAACCCCCTTGACTTCACAATCAAAAAAGTTACAAGTTGTAAATTTTAAATAGTATGATGGTGTGTAAAATGTATTTAAAATACTCACACTGCCATCTAGTGGCTTATTTACTTAATGTTTTCTAAGTTACTAATGTCTGACAAAGCAGCTGTAGACTAGGTTTCCTCATAAATTGTTTGGCTGGCTGGGCATCATGAAAAACATAGTCCACAGCTGCAGAGTTAAATATTCCCCATTTCTTTGTTAAGTAACCAAGTAAAAGCAAACAGTAAATGTTATTCACTAAAATGTGAACTGTCAAGATTTTAGACCAAATCGACAAACTAAAAACATAGCTGACTTCCTTTTTTTTATTTATTTTTTTTATTCACATGGAATTCCCCTTAAACTCCCAGAAATTCACAGTCCAGTAAATAACCCAATATGTATTTAAATCATATTAAAAGAAACTAAAAAGTAAAATGAAATTACAATGTTCCAAAGTACGTAAAATATATTCCACATTAAAAACATTAAAATAATCTATTTATAGGAAACCTAATCTTCCCCTGTTTTGTGAACATCAAAAAAAGTGCCTAAGATATGCAGGAATGGGGGGTGGGGTTATCGCGCACAATTTGACGTTTCTTTTGTAATTTTTGCATGAAAATGAACACGGTGTTTTTATAAATATCCACATAGAAGGAATATACTCTGCTTTGTCAGATCACTGCTAGATGTTAGATATGTGATAGACATCTATCATGTATTGCGTTTTATCCTAAGTAGAAAAATAGCAAGTAGAGTGTATGCATTGGAAACTACTTAACATTCTAACTGAAACACATTAACTTTAAAGGACAGTTCTAAGCATTATATACATTTAAGGTTGGTGAAGTGGTTATAGTGCACACACTCAGTGGGCACTGAAACATGCCAGTTCAAAGATATAGGATTTTTTTTTTACCAGGGTGCAACTCCACCTCAGGCTCTTATTAATCAGTTAGCCTGTAGACTGGGTAAAGAAATTGTAAACAGATATAGGTAACTGTTTGATAACTGCTGTGTAACGGCTGCTATCAATTTACTGAGCAGTTCCATGCATTGTAATTGATGAAGAGAACTGCTCTTGAAAATTAACTACTTATCCTACAAAGCCCTGCTTTCAATTGAATTATTTTTATAATGCGTAGAAAAACTGGATCATTTTACCCCATAGTTTCCTTTTAAAAAGGATCAGACTCTAAAGCAATATTTTATTATCTCAGCAATAACTATAAACAGGACAACAATGGAACAATAAATGAAGCAAGTTGTAAATAGATTTTAATAAAACATTTTATTAAGCAAAAAAAAAAAAAACTAAAATGTCACACATCTGGTTTAGCAAAACAGAGTTATGATGTGTAGGTTACTCTGTGTATTTTACACGAGGAATAATAAATATTTAAAAAAATAGATAATATATATTTAACCAAAGCAACCATGCATCTGGATATAGAGTACCAATATGGAACAGGAGGCCATTCCATCTGGAATAATAACGAATTAATACCTGGGGGTACCTTAGATAACAGTAACATTTACTAGTATGTTCTGTAGAGAAAGCTATTAAATATTAGTATGATTGCTGTGGATGAAAGTGAACCTGTCTCACAAAGTGTTTGGATGATAAGTTGACATTCCAGTAGGTATGTTTTATTTTTATATATGTAAACACATCTCCCACCATACTATTCCATCTGTAAGAATCATCTCCCAGAATGCTGTGTAATGTATAAGACAAATCTCCCAACATTCTATGCCATCCAAAAGATGTGTATCTGAGCATTCTACACAACCTGGACACATCTGGTATCATGTTACGCCATATTATATGAACACTATAGGATCAGGAAAACAAACGTGTTTGACCTTATAGTGTTAAAAAACGATGTTGGCCATCCCCCCGTACTCCCCTTAAAGCTAGTAAAAATGTACCTTATTTCCAGTGCCATGCCAGTCCATCAGAATTAATTATCTCAGCCAATCACAATGTCTTCCAAAGGGAAACCATTGGATTGGCTTAGATCGTCAATTCTGATGATCTCAGCCAAGGAGGCGGACCGGGGTCGGAAGCCAAACTGAGCCAAACTCTGGCCAATCAGAATCTCCTCATAGAGCTGAATTATATCAATGCATCTCTATGGGGAAAGTTTAGTGTCTCCATGCAGACCATGCACACTGTGCAGCACTGACCCAGGAAGCACCTCTAGTGACACTCTGAGGAGTGGCCCCTAGAGGTGTCACTGGGGAGCAATGTAAACATTGCCTTTTCAGAGTTAAGGCAGTGTTTACATGAAAAAGACTGCAGGGACTGACTATACTCACCACTCACAAGCTGTAGTTGTTCACTATAGTGTCCTTTTAAAGATAGATTCTCAAGCGTACTATTCCATCTAAAAGGACATATTTCACCACACTCCAAATGTAATGTTTCTCTTTTTGTATTATGAGCTAGTTTCACCTTGATGCTTTAATCTCATACCATAATACTGCTACAGTGTTATATCCATAAATTACACTTCCTTATTACACTATTACATTATAAGAAGACTATTGCACTGTGATATAGAATGTTACAGTAAAATCAATATATACATTCTTGCATTGTAATCCATATACAGAGGATTTCCTATATTTTTCCTTATAGCTAACCCGCGCTATGTTTTGTACCCAGAGTGGAACCATATTACTGGTCATTGTCAAGTTTTACAATCAACTGTTCAACAGTCTGACGTGGAGGTCAACTAAGGATTTCAAGGTCAACACCACAAGATGGAATTGGTTTTCATCACACGAGTCACTTTTTTGCTCCATATACTAAATTCAAACTGTAGAGGACCGTTAAAGAAGTATAGGTAACCTGTGGGAAAAATACAGAATATGTGTAGATTATTTAATCAAATACTGTATATGCTGCAATAAAAAATGAAATAAAAATATACACTTAATTACTTTTAATTCATTGGCAAAAAATTTAATTAATCAACATTAGTTACAAGGCAATGTACAACTAGCTTTTTGCTCTGCGCTCTAGATAATATTATTACCCAACTTATTGGTACTTATTTAATTGATATTAGAAGAAAGTACACTTATTTAAATTTTCTAATAAAACTGGTTACTCTGTGACACCACAACTTGAGCTCAGTTGTTATTATTTTTTTTTTATTATTATTAATTTTAGCAACTTATTCTGCAGCGCTATACAATATTATAGAGGGGAAAATTTAACAGGACATGAGAAAGTTTCAAAATGTTGCAGGAACAATAGGTTGATGAGGACCCTGCTCAAATGAGCTTATAATCTAGAGGATGTGGGGTATAAAATTACAATAGGAAGTGTATTAATCAGCCAGCCTGTAGCCTGGATAACAAAACAGTGAATTGGTTATAGGTAATCAAACGACAAAAGTAGGAAAGTAGCATAACTGGAAAGTGTGGCCCTTTAAGAAAGACCAAGAGACAGGTTTGTGAAATAGAAGTTATTCTGGTAGGTTATAAGCTTTTATGAAGACATGGGTTTTGAGGGACTTCTTAAATGATTGATGACTAGGGGAGAGTCTGATAGGGGAGGCAGTCTGTTCCAAAAGAAAGGAGCCAGCCGCGAGAAGTTCAACAAGCATGAGTAAGCCATATGGGTGAAAGCCATCGACATGGGGAAGATCACCGTCAGAACGGAGAGACCGAGAATGGGCATATCTACAAATCAGTGAAGAAATGTAACAGGGGCTAGAGTTGCTTAAAGCTTTATAGGTAAGAGTTAGGTTTTTGAATTTACTCCTGTTGGTTACAGGAAGCAAATGTAAGGATTGACAGAAGGGCAAGATGTGAGAGGAGCAACTAGAGAGAAAAATCAGTCTGACAACAGCATTCATTACAAATTGTAGTGGGGCAGTACAGCTTTTGGTAGGACCAATTAGTAGAGAATTACAGTAATCAATGAGAAACGACTAGAACATGCACAGGCTCCTTAACAGTATCTAGCATAAGAAAAGGGCAGACACGGGCAATGTTTTTAAGGTGGAATCAACAGGATGTGGCAATAGACTGGACATGAGGCATAAAGGTGAGGCCAGAATCAAAGAAAACACAAATACAGAGAGCTTTGCAGTTTGTGGGCTCATGCAGGTACTATCAATTTGTAGGGAGAGTGAAAGATGAGGATTAGTATTATAAAGAGGAAAAATAAGAAGCTCAGTTTTAGAGAGATTGAATTTCGGGAGGACATCCAATCAGAAATTGAATAAAGGCATTGTTCTAGGACAGCAGGGTAGAGATCAGGGGAAGAGAGATATATCTGGGTATCATTGTTGTACAGGGATATGGGACAAGTGTTGGAAAGGCAAGACGGGTCAAAAGATTACTTTTTTAGGACTGGCACGACAGTACCCCAGTACAGCAGTAGAGCAAGGAACTTGCCATAAGAAAGAGAGCAGTTGAAGATATGCATTAAAGGACGGCACAAGACAAGGGGAGATGGATCTGATAAAGTGAGATGGGACAGGGTCAAGCAGACAAGTGTTTGGGAGAGAGGAAAGGAAAAGCACAGCCACCTCCTGTTCAGTAGCCAGGAAGAAGGCCTGAATGGTAGGAAAGACATGGTCTAAGTATAGTTGAGAGAGAGAGAGGAGTGAAGCAGGGAGAATTCTTTCCTCAATAGTTTTTTCCAATCAGTTAAATTGCATTCAACTATCGGCTGAAAGATTAGTTTGGTGGGGAAAAAAAGAGAAGTTGAAGGTATCAAAGAGACGCCTGAGATTGTGAGAGTATGAACTAAATAGGGAGGAAAAGTTTGATTATTTAGTTAATTAAATACCTGATCTATAATCTTGGTAATTAAATAACTGGCTTAAAATGTGTCCTGTCTCCCACATCATTCTGCTTCTTTACAGAAATAAAGCATCTCATAAAATACTAATTACCAAGAATCAGTAATTAAGTGCACGTACCATTTCGTTGATAAGCAGCGTCTACTTTTTCTCCAATTCCAGGAAAATCATCTTCAATAAGCTTAGGGTAGCCTTTGTCCAAAGTCATATTTTCATCATCAAAACTAATTCAAAAACATAAATATATAAGAATTTGTTACATAAATGTGAATTATTAAAAACATTAATGTAACATACTTTCAGCATGATGGCCACAGTAGTGTAGCCTACAACAAATATCATTAGGCACATAAATGATATCCCCCCACTAACTGGATTTCCGACCTCTCCAGGACATGGAATTTTCAGGATCAACATAAATGGGAAATTGGAAAAGATATTTGGAGTTCTATTCACTAAACAGCAACCTGTAGTCAATAGGGAACCAACTTGTAATGTTTAGTGTAAAATAGGCAAGATGGGGAAAAAAAAGTTAGTGCAAGTTAGTTCCCGTGTCATCATAATAATAGATGTTTGTGTTTAGTAAACTGCACCTTGCCACTAAAAGAGACTTTTTTCTTCTATCAGAATTAGAATTTATAGAAAAAAACTATTTAGTAAACACTCTTTTTGGCTAGTAACCCTTGGGGTGCTGCTCTTCCCTCACCTTCAAATAATAAAAAAATAAAAAACATGACCTCTGTTCCAGTGCCGAGGCCAAGTTCTCCCAACAACGTGATCTTCCACTGCTGACACCAGACCTCCTTGCTGGAGGGGGCAGATGTCAAGGATAGCAGGCTGAGGGGAGAATATGGGTGGCACAGAGGGTGGGGTGGACTGCCATTGGATTCCTTGTGTGCTTACATTAGATGTCCAATGTGTACAGAATTCTTATCAGCCAGCCCTGAACTTATGTCCCGGGCTGGTTAATGACAGCACAATTACTCTAAAGAAAGAGCAGTTAAAGGAAGGGATTAAACTGCATGTGCAGTCTTTCAAATGCTGTATATACAGACTCCAGGCACCATAACAACTTCAAACCACAAAAGTGGTCGTCGTGCTTGTAGTAACCCTTTAACAGTATAATAAATTATTGAAAAATGTTAGTAAGCATATCACACATTATTCTATTATTCCTAAACTTTTTTTCTTTGAGATAAAAAAAATACATTTATAGCGTAGAATTATCATACCTCCAATACTTGTCATCAGTAAAGAAGAGCGTTTTGCCAATTGCACTGTTATGGACAGCTGCATCAATAGATTTCAAGGTTTTTGGGAAACCAAGTTCATGTATTTTTCTTGGATAGTTCTCTACTATATCATATCCACTTAGAGCCCAGAATTTTTTCCCTGAAAAAAAAAAATATATATATTTTTTAAACATACTCAGTTGTGTTATGTATCTTCTTTTCATAGTTGTGTTCAGCAGATTGTATCACAGAGTGAATCTAAATAACATCTAAATATTACTTTTAAAAAAATAATGTAAAAAAATGAGCTGCCAGACTGATTTGCTTATAAAAAGTTTTTGTCAACATTGAAAATTATTTTTCAAAAAAATGTAATGACAACAAAAGAAGTACAGAGTACAGTTACACCTTCTGTTCTAGTACGAACTAGTTATATCTGCCTTTTTTTCTGCCTATAGAGACTTAGATGGGAGCAGGGAAGAACGTTTAGCCCTATATTAAGGTATGTTTGGGCATTCATAAAACATTCTGTGCACATACCTAAGCATCTTAGATACCTTTTGTTCAATTACATCAGATTACATTGTATCTTATAAAAAAGTTTTCAAACAAAAAGGGACATCAAATAGTCAATATCACTGCTAAGATTTTGTTTTTGAAACTGCAAAATGTTAAATTTGAGATGTTGAATAGACACTGGCCAGTTAATTTTTGAAACAATAACCAACCTTTAAATATATATATCAGATCCTTCTGTGGATATTCGTAAGCGGCATCTATCTTATTGGGTAGTTCAGGCCAAAACGATTTAATCAATACTAGTTCTGCTTCAACCATCTGAGGATGGAGGCGCCAGAAGAATCTAGTAAGAAATCAAAAATAAATCCATATAATTTAATAATACATTTACAAAATTAATCAGATTAAAAATATGCATACAAATTTCCATTTTGATGTTCTCAAATATCCATATTCACCGATCCAGATCAAGCAGAACTAAAAACACTGATACTATTTCCAATTGACATTTTGACTCAGACTTTTTTGGGGATACAGTCTCATTCACAATGAAAATGCCCAATCCAGTGGGAATTTGTAATTGAGAAAGTGTCTGTGTTGCAAAAATGTTGAAGTTGTGTCTTCTTTCTTTGGATTTGTGTAATACTTTTGAGGTCAACAGACACAGGCAGATATATCACCCTACAGGAGTGGTGTAGTATATGATATGTTATATATATATATATATATATATATATATTATTACAGTTACTAATTTAAAAATTGTACTTATGATAGTTATATGTTATATGTAGTGATGTCCCGAACGGTTTGGCGAACGGTTCGCCACGAACGGTTCGCCACGGACTCATCATTGAGTAAACTTTGACCCTGTACCTCACAGTCAGCAGACACATTCCAGCCAATCAGCAGCAGACCCTCCCTCCCAGACCCTCCCACCTCCTGGACAGCTCACTAAGAATGCAGCTTCACAAATGGGATGCTGTCCAGGAGGTGGGAGGGTCTGGGAGGGAGGGTCTGTTGCTGATTGGCTGGAATGTGTCTGCTGACTGTGAGGTACAGGGTCAAAGTTTACTCAATGATGAGTCCGTGGCGAACCGTTCGTGGCGAACCGTTCGCGAACCGTTCAGCGAACCGTTCGGGACATCACTAGTTATATGTTAATGTGAAATTGGTTATTACTAAATTGATTGCTCATTTCAGCAGGAGGTCAACCTGCTATCAAGTTACAAGAAGTCAGGATTGATGGTAAAGGGCTTCTATAAGTAATTTAAATTCATGGTGTAGTTTTGTCTCATCGAAAGTTCTGGAAAGAGGCCCATAAAGTTCTTGAAAGTAATGTAAGTTCTATTTTGTTTCAGCTAGACATTTAAGGACAAAGAGCTGATACTACATACCTGTCTTTAAAGATGAACTTTTCTCCTCTGAGTTCTGTTATAGCATCAAGTGCTAGTTCAGGGTCACACTTTTCTGGAGTTTTTGGGTGTTTTGGGTTTGGATCACTGTTGCCTGCCCCTTAAATGAATAAACATAATACATTTATTATACGGTTCTTTTACTTTTTATTGGAAATCCAATTACAGAACCAATTGGAGTTTAAACTTACCATACAATTCCTGAATTCCTTGTACATCGTCATCGGGAAGAATAAACCTATTTGTTTCAGTATACGAGTACACTGGGTACATCAGTGATCCAGGGTCTCTAGAGTGATCTAGTCCCAATGCGTGGCCAAACTCATGAGCAGCAACCATGAAAAGATTGTAACCTGCAAGATGTCAAAGAAGTGCCATAATCAATAAGAATTACACAGGCCTGATTTTGACAGATTAAAAATGTTGATTTGTGTTCAGAGAATTGTAATTTCATGAAAACTAAATTGGTTAGAATTCTGCTTCAGATCTTGTCTGGAAACTGTTATACAACTAATAACTGGTTACCCAAGATTATTCTGATTTACCCTAATGGACACTTATACCCAGTGCCTTAAATTTAGCAACACCTCGAGACTTTGGTGGGTCAGAAGTCAAAACACTTCCCCATGTCCTTTGGGCAAAGCCAGATTTTAAAAGGCTGCAAATGTAAGTCGTAGACAAGGGATTAGCACAAATTTACAGGAGATTTGTGATTTAAGGCAGGTCCTATGTTGGCTCAAAGGCACAATAATTAATTGATAAGTCCAGAGTCTCCAGGTCCATTCCTAAGTATGATTATATTAGCAAGTAGAAGTGAAGTTTAGAAAATACCTTTGAAGTCACTTGTGAAAAATTCATCATCGTCAAAATGGGTATCACCTCCAATTTTATCTCCTGGAGGAAAGGCATGTGCCAACAAGCCATTTGGACCATCAAAGGGATAGTAGTCACCGTGCTCTATAAGCAATAGAGATAATACTGTGAGCAATCTGATGCTAACTTGAATTCAGTAAGAAGAGTTTAAAGAACAAATATTTGGTTAAAAAATATATATTGATTCCTGATATTGAGAATGTAGATACTAGGATTATCTAACAGATATTGTATCATGCACTTATATAAGTAATATAACAATTGAAAATAACAAACAAAAGAATAAATATATTAAATATCACAACTGTCAAACAGAATAATGCATTTAAGAAGCATACACACTAATATTTCTGTCTTTTCTTTTCATCTCAGCAGCAACAAAGTTGTTTGAAATGTAATTAAATTGAGTCTTATTCCTATGGATTTCCCATGATAATATGTTTCTGTAATATTTATTAACTTTTTTGTTTCTGATTACAAGATATTTTTGATTTTGGTAATGTAAACACTAAGAAGAACTTTAATTATTGGAATTAAGTTGTTATGGTGCCAGGATGTTCTTGGTGCCGGCTGACCATTAGGAGTTAATCCATTCTTGAACGTTTAAGCCCAAAGTCTTGAATCCAAAGCCATTTAGCTCTGTCCCTGTCCTTTTTTTCAGATTCTTGAAACAGGAAGCTTGAGACAGGGGAGGGTCCAGATCCTTATATTTCAGGAGGTGCACTCATAGATTATTTAAAGAAACATTCCAGGCACAATAACCACTACAGCTCTCTGTAGTGGTTATGGTGCCAGGAGCGCTGTGGTGCCCTTCAAGAGTAAATAGTCAGACCGTTTAACAACAGTTTGTCAATTTACTTGGGGTCTGCCAGGAGGATAGGGGCTGTAGTAGGGGATAGGGCCTCTCGGTGCGTGTGTGTGTGTGTGTGTGCATGGGAGGCAGTGTGTGTGCGAAGGGTGCAGTTTGTGTGTGTGTGTGTATTTGGGAGAGTGTGTGTATGGGGGTGCAGTGGGAGCACTGTGTGTAGGAGGGGTGTAGTGTGTGCATGGGAGTGCAGTGTATATATGGGGTGCAGTGGGAACACTGTGTGTATGAAACCAGTGTGAGTATGAGGGTGTAGTGAGGGCAGTGTGTGTGAGGGGAAGTATGTGTATAGGAGTGTAGTGGGAGCAGTGTGTGTATGGGGTTACAGTGGAGGCAGTGTGTGTATGGGGAGGCAGTGTGTGTATGGGGGTGCGGTGTGTGCATGGGGGTACAGTGGGGGCACTGCGTGTATAGGGGTGTAGTGTGTGTATGGTGGTACAGCGGGGGCAGTGTGTGTGGTGGGGCCATGTGTGTATGGGGGGCTGTGGGAGCAATGTGTGTGTAATTGGGGGAGGGGGTCTGATTAAAACAAATATGTGTTGTTTTTTTATTAAATAAATATGCTTTATATCCCCCCTCCCTTCTCACCTTTGCCTAGGGAGGGGGGATATCGATTGTGATGCCCTGGTGGTCCGGTGGAGAATCCCTGGTGGTTCTAGTGGGGAGTGAACTCTAGCCTGCAGCTCCTGAGGCTAGAGTTCACTCTTGTGAGAACAGAGCATTGCCGTGGTAACCGTGCTCACAAGAGGAGACCTGGCGGAGCTGTAAGCTAGAGCTCACGGGTCTCCTCTCCCTCCCCTGCCAGCCGCCTAGCAAAGTGCACCCAGCAGGGCTGACGCTTGGATATCACCGGCCCTGCAGGGGAGAGCATTGGCTCTCGGGGGGGGGGCAATTGCCCCATTTACCCACCTACACCTGCCACTAGACCCGCCACTGACCTGAGCAAAATGGCCTGAGAAAAATATGTTTTTGAATGGGCAGCTACTGATTGGCTTAGAGCATCAGCTGGCACTCAGCCAATTAGCAAAGCCAATTAGCAAAGCCACTCTCTGAGGCTGCCCGAGGCTTCTTGCTTTAAGAATTTGAGATAAGGGGAAGGAGAGGGAGAGAGCTAAATGGTACTGGATTCAAAACATTGTGGCTAAACTGTTCATGAATGGTTTTACCCTAAAGTTAAGCCGGCACCAGGGGCTTCCTGGCACCATAACAACTTCATTCCAATTAAGTTGTTATGGTGCCCAGAGTTTCCTTTTAAACCATCTAAATTATTGTTAGGTAATATTTAAATTTGCATGTACTGTACTCAGGTGCCTATGTATTCAAATATCTCCCTTCTGATGCAAGTATACAAGAACTTTTACACATATATTTTTGTTAGAACATGCACTGCCAAAAGCCATCTCGCATTTTCAACTAAAACAGCCGAGATTAAATAGCTAATTTTAAGGGTTTTTTTCAGGTTATCTATTTTATTTACACAATTACCCATTTAGGGAGTAAACCCTAGAGAACTTCTATGAGGGATTATTTGTGACTTGTGAGATATTAGAATTGTAAATGTACATAACGTTCATACCTTTCTTCCCAAATGAAACCATGATGTCGGCAGTGCCTGTACGGAGTCTGGTGAAGTTTAAAGGAGTTACATCACTCCACACTTTAAGGGCTTTTTTGATCACTCTATCCACATCTGCATGGGTTAAATCTGGTGTGTAGTTCACAATCCTGCCAATAAATCAACGTGAATCAACGTGAAATGTCATCCACAACTTTATTGAATGCTAATAAATAGATTAAAATGTAAGCAGTTAGGCTACACAAGTGGTTTATGGTTGAAATTCTTTAAGAAAAGTCGACAAGCATGGCACATGTTTGTCTTGGATGATAGCCAAGTGTATGGAGGCTGAGTCATGATACCAATGTCTAATAAACGGTACAAACTGTGCTTCTTCAACATCTGCAGTAAAATGTGCTGTTTATAAGACTCTAACAATATGAATATCTGTAGTATGGTGCATCACCTACATCTATCTCCAACCAGTTCTCTAATAGCTGTTGGCTAACTCTGACATAATGGATATTAATAGAGATTCAAGGTGTAGTTTGGCTCTGATTAATAAGTTGCATGATTTTCCGTGCCCATGAGGTTTAGGGGGTACACTGATTTAACCCTTCAACACTTTATGGATGCAGTGTTAGTAAGCCAGATAAACTGACTGTGATGGTACGCACCATTATAAATAACTGTTGTGCGCTCTAACAAACGCAGATTGCTTGTATAAATATTATAAATCTCTCCGTTTTAAACTCAACATTTTCAAAGAGAATTGGAAATCTTAAATCTCTTCATCAACTCACTACATTGTGAGAATGGTTTACCTGTAGGTGATATTGTTCCTGTGCCATTTTAATTTCCTTGGAAAGAAATTGTATTCCCCAATATCAGGGACCCCGCATCTTGGTTGTTTCATAATCTCCATTGTATCTTCGTCTAGTTTGCCTGTCACCTCCAAACCGAAGAAAGATTGCATCTGCTTGAGTTTGGTCTGCACACTTTTTGGGCTTTTGCTCCGGAGAATGCCGCTGGGGAGAGCGGAGGAGCTGTAAAGTGCGTTCAGGTATTTCTGAGGAAAAAGCAAAAAAAGTCTTAATCACACTTTGAGTAAGTCTCTCTTACAGACACTCTGACATAAAGCGAGTATAGTACTGTTGTTTGAGTATAAAGCTTACTTTATGCATTGCACTACCACAAGGGTGTCCAACCTTGTTTAGCCACAATTATTGGTACTGTACACTGTAAAGCTGACATTTTACAAAACATCCTCCCTCTTATAAAGAAGATTTATAGGTAGGCCCACTGCTCTTAATAGATGCATTTCAACCTTAGTTAATGTTCCAGATTCGAGGCCCTCATGCGGTTATTGGAAAATGGAGAGGGAAAAAGAGTATCTCTTTACTCAAATCAAATATGAAAATATAACAAAAATAGACTTATTTTAAGTAAATAAAATATAACAAAAATATACTTACTTCAAGCAAATAAAACATAAAATAAGACAAAAAATAGAATTATATCAAGCATGTATAACGTCATCATTATTATTATTATTATTATTATTATTTTTAAAGAGTCAGCCATAGACTTTTGTAAGCATAATGTTGTCCACAAACAGTTCTTTCTGGTATTAACTGATACAAGAAGTAGTTGGTGACTAGTGGACTGATCAGTGGTTTAAAAATCACCCCATGAAATAGGAACAAAGAAAAAAGTGAATTGTGAAAACATAAAAGTCAATTGAACTGCTTAGGTCAAAAAAATCTCGATTATAAACTTGTCTTTCATTTGGCTATTAGTATTTTACAAATATTTTGAAATTCACTTTTTAATTTCACTGCCATTTCAATTTAGTAAACTGCCCCATTTTCCTTCTGAATATTTCCTGCCAGTAATTTCATTTTTAAATATGAATATTACAATTTATAAGTATATAAAATACCTCAGCAAATCTCAGATCATTCTCCGTCAGGTCAGATTCGTTGGATTCTGAATGTGATATTGGAACTGCTAAGCAATAATTCAGGCTCAAGATCAACACTGCTGCTGACACAGTCAGAAGTGCCATGTTTGTTTATTTTTTCCCAAAGTTCTGGAGCTTCTGAATGTCCATGGAAAAAACTGAGCTTTCTTATATAGTCTCGAAGTCATGAGTCACCTCATTGAGACATGTTCAAACATCGAGTCAGTAAATGTAAATATGATTACTACAAATTCCCAAGTTACGGTTTGTGGTGTGGAGCAGAAAAAGTTTGAAATCTAAGCTTTTTTTGAAAGGATGTCTTTATGTAAACATGTCCTCAGCACATTTGAGTATGGGAAGTACGAAATTGCATACAGCGTACCCCACAAGTTTATTTTTTCATTACTTTGCAAAAAGAATCTCTTTGTGTTTTGCAAAAAAAAATAAAACTGTTCAAAATGACTGTTCAAGAGTAAAGATATATGAAATACAATGTATTAGCTTAAAGTCTCTGCATATGTACACATAGTAATCAGAACGGAAATGTTCAACCGTATTATTATAAATATAAAATATATCAGTTTGAAGGTAGTACATTAACAGGTGTACAATAACTGTTCTAAAGTTCACATTAACATATTGAGCAGTGGAGGTACAAAAGGGCTATTTTGTATTCATTTTCTTTTAGTCATTATAATTGATTAGTAGATATGCAATCATTAAATATTAAACACTATCACCAGGTGGAATCACAAGGGATCAGGAAGGACAAGTGATCCAGTAGAAATCAGATCTCTGCGTGCTGGTGTACTGGTGGAGAGGATGTAGAAAGGTCAGAAGAGTCAGGCTGATCAGACTAGTAAAGAACAGATTCTTTGAGTGTAGAAAGAGAATTGAACAATAGAGGGTCCTGGATATTGTTTACTAACAAGTGGGTTTTCAGACCTTTTAAAAGGACATGAAGGAGATGCAAGGAAGGAGTTTGTTCCAGTGATTTAGAGCTATGAATGAGTGCAGGAGTGGGCTGAATGGACTAGATTAAATGGACAAAAGGATGGGAGAAGTAAAATCTGTAAAAATGGCTGTGATAACCACACTATATAATCCTGAAAACTGAACACAAATAGAAGTAACAGGAAACGTGTTGATTAGGGTTCGCTGTATGGCAGTAATAAGATTATAATCAGGAAGAAGTATAACATTTATCATGCGGGAAGGGGTATGAAACTTGTGATGCAATAAGAGGAGAGGGTAGTGAAGGTAACAGGTGATTTGAGGTGGCTGGTGGTATTGTTAATGGTCCAGAAGTATAAGTATGCTTCTGGAGAATGATATTGTGGTGATCCGTAGGGAAATATAAAAAAAAAGGTATGGAGGAGTGAGAAAAACAGAAAAAAGAGAGAGTGTAATGATTAATGAATCTGAGTTTGGAGAAAACGAATGTCACAGTAGCCGCTATTACTCATTGGCAGAACCCAGACCTGGATAGGTCCCACCAATGGCAAAAAATGTAGAGAGGGTCCTGGTACAAGAAATATTTTTTGGGCCCCCTGTAGCGCAAGCATGGCCAAGAGGCAAATCCCTATCTGTCGTATAGCTCCCACACACGGATAACACATATATAATCTGACTGATGATTCTCAGTTTACACTCTCTGATGTGTATAAATTGAGTTTGTGATTGCTTTGGATTGGAATAAGGTGCTTCTACTGAAAGAACAACGGAAACAGGTGGAAGTATCCGGATGAGTGAAATTAGAAGTGAATATTTAAAGGGTCTATTAAGTATTTAGTTGATTAGAACAGATTGCCTTTCGTAAATATAAAAGGTATGATTAGACCATATAAGAATGTTTTCCTGTAATACAAAAAAAGCCCTTGGGTGGATGGTTCAGGTGGGAGTGATGATAGTATGCTACGTAATCCTCTTTATAGACTTGTCTGGAATGCATAAATAAGTATAACGTTGCGTGATTAGAATTGTGCCCCATAAAAGTAAAAATCTAAAAAAAAAAACATTGCAATAGGTTATCACAACTATTTTTGGCTATTGTTTAAAACTTGAGTTTCTCCTACGTTTGGCGCCAATATTAACTTTCTCAAAAAGTATGCCAAAACATAACCTTCTATGATACAACAGCCACTAACACAAACGTTTCCTACCAAGTACAGTTAAAGGGACACCGTAGGCACTGTATCTGCTTCATCTCATTAAACTGGTTATAGTGTCAGGAGTCCACTGGTCCCATCATTTCTATCAGCATTAAACAGTTTTTAAAGTTTTAATGTTTTAATGCTAAACAAGAGTCCCAGGCAATCCATCCCTTCTGTGCTGCTTTGACTAATAAGGAAGTATTAGCCTGAGCAGCAATGGGCAGCTGTGATTGGCTGAGAGTGTCAGCTGACTGCTTTTAACCTGTCAGAGTTCCAACTGACGGTATGAATGGGTATGACAACAAGGAAGTGTGTAATCTCTGCCTTAGCTACACATACTGAAGGGGCCGGACTGTGGGTGGCCAGGGACTCTTATTTTGTGGCATACTGCACAAACATGGTGCAACACTGAATGGAGGGACAGTGCCAGGGTACTCCAGGCACTATAACCAATTCAAAGAGATGAAATGCTCATTGTGACTACAGTGTCCCTTTAATTAATTGTAAGACTACCTGATATTTTCAGACAGGATAAACAGATACCAAGAAGAGTCAAGGGAACTAGAAATCAGTACAAACGGTTAACAAACCAAAAATGGTAACACTGAAATATAGTGATGTCCCGAACGGTTCGCGAACAGTTCGCCACGAACGGTTCGCCACGGACTCATCGAGTAAACTTTGACCCTGTACCTCACAGTCAGTAGACACATTCCAGCCAATCAGCAGCAGACCCTCCCTCCCAGACCCTTCCACCTCCTGGACAGATCACTAAGAATGCAGCTTCACAATGAATGTAAAATGGATGTTGTCCAGGAGGTGGGAAGGTCTGGGAGGGAGGGTCTGCTGCTGATTGGCTGGAATGTGTCTGCTGACTGTGAGGTACAGGGTCAAAGTTTACTCAATGATGAGTCCGTGGCAAACCGTTCGTGGCGAACCGTTCGCGAACTGTTCGGCGAACCGTTTGGGACATCACTACTGAAATAGTAATCAGAATTGATCAAGGCACAGGACACTAGAACTATAGGGCACTGTACCTCTGAAAGCATAGAGATTAAATCGCCAACTGAATGTCTGGTGAATGCTGTCCGTTTGTCTGTAACACAAGACTTGGGTACCATGTTTGGTTGACTTTCAGCATGGCCATGATGATGTGGGCAGCACTATTTAATAGAACTGTGTGTGAGCAGGCAGCTTTGAAACAGCTGTCTTCACTGAATGACCATAAAAAGAAGCATATTAGTACTGAGGAAGGCCATGACAGAATGTTAATGTATGTCCTACAACAAAGTTGATGGACAGCACACATATTGTGTTGAAATCTTCCCAAGGTGCCTCACGGACAGAGGCGGTATAACCCCAGTTCAGGACAGCAAAAAGAGAGGTGTCTGGGCACTCAATGGTCAAGCCACAGCACACTTTACTGGAAACAAAAAAGCAACGTTTTGACTCAAATGAGTCTTTATCAAGCCAAGCAATGTATGTTCTCCATGTCTGAGGATTAACGTGCATATTCAGGCAATGTATAATTGTGAGTGTGTGTGGATACTTGCTTGTATGAAGTGAGTGTGAGGTGTAGCAGGCTGAATATTAGTATATCAGAATGTGACCAGTGAAAGATAGATAGAAATGGAAGACGTGTGGAAAACATGGAAGATTGCCTTCACATGCATGTGTAGTCAAGGAAATATGTTTAAAAAAAATATATATATTAATAAAAGTATGCATACAAATTAGGCATGATACCAAAACAAAATCTCGTTGCAGTAACACATCCCCAAAGTGTTTTTTATTTTGATAGTCTAGATGTTTGGCTGGCCGTGATAGTAAATGTAAATTCTTTATATTCTTTAAAAAGCCACAGGAATTCACATACTTCAGCTTCCAAAGATAACGTAAGACTGATACATTTAACCACACGTAATTAACACCTGACAAACACATTTTCTACACTCTTCAAACAACTTGAGGGTATTCAGTTCAAGCTGATTTCTTACTCCACTTTATAAGAAATTGATGATTTTTACCTTTTGAGATTGTGAAATATTGGAGCGTCTAAACTTGCTGCCAGAGGAAACATCTGCTGTTTTTGCAGTAGCATTCATCCCCTGTCATTGGCCTGTATCCCACAACTCCATTAAAGGACCGTTTAAACCAGGAAGAAAAAAACTATTTATCAAAAAGGTTTTTAAGAACTGATTTATTGTGACACATGGTATGGGTTTGTCACTAGTGTGTTAGGTAATTTGGTGGCTTGGTGACATCATGACATTCTATAATCACAGAAAATCAGTAAAAAAAATAAATAAATATATATATATATATATATATATATATATATTTTAACTAGAAACACAATAGGGTACATTCACCGAACAAGGGACTGTGGAGAAATGACCAATAAATTGCAAATGTATGCCCTAACAATTGTAGGTCACAGATAAGCTTTCTTCTTTGGTGATTAACCCATCTAACCCATAATATATAGCTATGCACAATATATCTATATTTATATTTTATTGTTTTTAATTAAAGGTGAAAGAAAGTGTTTCCAACAGCATTTTAAATAATAATGCAAAGTTAAAATGTGAATAACAAAATGCAAATCTCTGTTACAGTGTTAACTAGGCTTTCTTGTGCTCTTAATCTTCAATTAATAGGCTATGGATATTGTTACAAAAGGTCGGGCAGACAGCTAAATGGGAAACAAGGGTGCAAATGGGCCGGGCATTAAAGTTTGCCTGGGCACATGTGGCATGTCTATTTTGTTATATTTGGCCACATGGTGCTAAAACCTGGGCCTTGTGTGGTTTATAAAGAACAAGTTCATAATCACAATAAGGAACACTTTGGAAAAGGGAGAATAACACGCAAAATTTTATCTAGCAGACATTTTTTAAAGGCATTGTTATTACATACTAAAATAGTAAATTCATCTTAGTTATTGAATGGATGATACACAAAGTCACAAACTAATCCTGGGCGCAGTATAAACATCAGGATCCAGAATGTACATGTAATTAAGAAGTGCCTTAAAACCCATCTCTTCAGGAAAGCTTAAGGCCTCCCAGAGTAACCAATAACTTACACACTTGTCTCTTGTTCTCTCCTAAAGGGCAGCACTCTACTCTCTCCTCCAGCTCTGCTTCACTCCCACCTTATTTGATTGCCATCTCCTGTCCTATTGTGTTTTATACCCCACCTCATATAGACTGTAACCTTGTTTGAGCAGGGTCCTCTTCAACCAATCTTTCCTGTAGGGTTTCTTGTAATTGTCCTATTTATAGTTACATCCCCCCTCTCATAATATTGTAAAGCGCTACGGAATCTGTTGGTGCTATATAAATGGCGATAATAATAATAATCAAGAGAGATTGGCATTAAAGGAACACTCCAAGCACCATAAGCTGGCACCCTTCCAGAGGAAGAAGTCAAACTGATAACTTACTTGGAATCTTACCTAGGTGCCTGGCAACATGTGCCATCCCCTGCAGGTAAAGCTGGACATCTCTTCTGAGTTAGGCATGGCCCGCATGGCCCAGCTGATGTTCTAAGCCAATGAAAGCAGCCCGGCATGGCCCTACTTAGCTCAGTGGCGCTAACCAGATTCTCCTTGTCGGAGAAACTGGAAGCAGGGCTATGGAAGTTATTAAATATGTTTCTTAATGATAGGAATCCTCATATAAAATCTCTAAAAGAATCATGATAAAATCCTATATTTTAAATATAGTGCAGATAATAAATGGTGAGTTTGCCATTTGAGTGAAACTATAATGGTGCTGTGTTCAGAAGGCTGTGGCATTATTACATCATTCATAATGGGACAGGTATTGTCGCCTCTAGGATTAATGAGTGTCTTACATTAGCAAACTATCTACATGAGTGACTGTGTAGCTACTCAGATGATACTGGGGGATATAATTGTTATCCTTTCTAGCAAATGCAATGCCTGAATAGGATTGATGGGATTTCCTATACATATCTTCTCCAGCATCCCTTGCAACCCTGAGCTTTAATGACGTTTGAATATTGGTTGTAAAGATGTTTTGGCAGCTGCTTAAAGGGTTACTCCAAGTACCATAACTCCTTCAGTGTTTTGAAGTGGCCATGGTGCTGGGAGTCTGTATGTGCAGTGTTTTAGTTTGAAACCCTGAACATACTGAGATATTTGAGGTTCTTACCAGAGATGTAACTCCACCTCCGGCAGTCTCCAGGCTGGCTAATATTAAATCTATGCGCATTTGGTGTCTGTCATCAGCATGCTGGTGACAGTTGACCAATAGTGGTACGGCCATTATTCCGAAGTCCGCCCCTCAGCCTGTTGGGGAGTGACATCACTGAAGGAGGATCGGGCTGCAGGGAGAACTTGGCCTCAGCTTGGGATCACGGGTAAGTTTATCTTTATTTCTTCATTTTATTTCTCTTAGGGGGAGGAGTCCATGCCAGTAAGGGTCATTCTAATCAAAATAAGCGATTTACTAAAACACCTTAACACTCTGAGTGAGCAGTAACCCGCAATGTTGCATCAAATTCACCAATTTTACATTGTAAATCTTCAGTGGTTTTCTACGCGATTTTACAAATTGTTTTTTTATAAACACACATTCCGCAAAACAACTTTAAAAAGAAAGCAAAACAAGAAGACTGTCTTATAGATATGTTTTATTCCAAAAAATGTTCTGTACAAAAAAAATTGGTCTTTTTCTAAAATCTTCTAATAATCCCTCCAAAATGAAGACGAAGACAACGTTAGCACAACAATGAGTTATTTTTAGATAATAACTGCTTCTTTGAATCATATTCAAATTGTGTCTTGCCCAGGAAAAAGTAGATGTGTCCTGTAAAATGCAGAGGTATATACAATAGATATATGCATATTAAAAATAAATAAATATTACGAAATGAAAATAATGAACAAAACTCTATTATATTAATTGATATGACGATGATGAAGCAATCTTTTTTTTTTTTTTTTTAAGACGTGTGAAAGTAGAATGTAAACCTGTGTACACCTCATGAGAAAGTAAAGTGTACACTTATTATGCAATATGTGTAGAAAATTATATCAAGTTCATAATCAATGTCTATATATTGTTGGCAACATGACTATTGGTGCCAAACCACCAAAATATTAGCTCAAGATGTGAGGACAACAAGTTTACCGTCATTAAATTTAATATATACATTGTACTGGCCAAATAATCAAAGATGTGCAGGTGAAAAGATATGCCTTCCTGAAAATTGATTTTCCCTTATGCAATCATCAAGTACCCCCTAACAGTCCAGGATTTTGGTATTACCAAGTTATGTCTAAGATGTTTTAAGAAAGAAAAAAAAAATACACTTTAGACACAACAGGGTAATCCCTAAATCTTGGACTGGGAGGGGGTACTTGAGGAATGGGTTGGGAACCCCTGCAATAGAGCATTCTACAACGATTGAAAACACAATTTCTCTGTTACCAAATAATTCCATAACTCCTAGTGTGTAGGAGCAGACTAGAAGTTGTGTGTTCCCTGGTTGCTATTTAGGGTGGTGAGGCTGTGTACAGCCATTCAGAATGTTCAAAGGCAAAGAGACATTACTGAATAACTTCTCATCTGTGCTGTTGCTAGCAATTTGATCAACACAATGTTTAGAAAAAACTGTATTTTCTATAACATGACTCTATGTCTCTCAAATGACACTTGAAGACTTTAAGGAAACATTGTGGGTAGACCAGGATAATAATTGGTGGTTGTCAAAATAACTAAGATTTAACTCAATGCCCCAGGCCAGGTGTAGGCAGCCTTCAGCACTCCAGATGTTGTGGACTATATCTCCTATAATGCTCTTACAGCCATAATGCTGACAAAGCATCAAGGGAGATGTAGTCCACAACAACTGGAGTGCCGTAGGTTGCCTACCCCTGCTCTAAGCTATCACACTTTTCCTAAAATAAAGGACATCCTTGTTATTTTATATGGGAGGACAGTTTCACATTGGATGCTAGCTCACCGTTAGTATGCTGAAATGCTGCGTCTACTTCATGTCCAAGCCCAGGAAACAGGGAATCCAATGGTTTTGGGAACCCATCCTCCATTGCCCCACGTTTTTCATCATAGCTAAGGATACAGAAAGAAACAATGCTAAATTAATTCACCTTTCCCACAAATCCGAGACATCATCTTTAGAGGAAAAACAACACAAAATGTATGAAATGAATGCAAGCTCCTAATGTTATCTAACTGTGTGGCAGTCTTTTTCCAATGGGTAGGGGGCTCATGATAGCCAGCTATAGATACCACGGAAGATACAGGTATTGTACAGATTCCAAAATGCCTGACTGCTAAAGGTGGTGTGAGAATACGATAGTAGAGTATACTGTAGGTAAACATTTCATACTGTGATATGTGTGAGATATTTTACATCTGGTTTTCAATTCCCCAAAACACAACCATGTTATATACTTTGCTACTCAATTAAAATGTGTGTTTTAAGGATCTCTTGTTACAAAAACTTCTTATTATAAATTAATCTTAGTACACTGGCTTTTCTGGTTTTGAAAAAAAAAAAGTGTTTTTCCCGTCTTTTACAGAGATGTGATTTACACCCGGATTTACCTGATATTGCCTAACTTACTAGTTTGGCAGGGGAAAGGTGGAAGCCATTATTATTTCTTATTCATTCTAATTCCAAGTGCTAATTGGTATTTCCCTCGGCATAAAGAAGTAACAATGCTTTAGCAACTTCTGTTCATTCTGCTTTTTCGAATGTTCCATTGAAACTGTTGATTATTAACTGCGGCAGAGGTGACGGTAAGTAATTTTACATTGAAACCAGAACTGGCGTTTTCTATATAATATATATAGATTAATAAAAGTTTAAGTTCCCCAGACCATTGTAACTACGCAATTTTGCATGGTACTGATTTGAATTGCTGAGACGTTGTAGTCCAACTGAACCACCACGATTTGTTGAACCTTACTCTAATTAACATGTGATTTTCTATTGTTAAAGAATGTTTTTTTATTGTTATTTTATAGGGGGAGGGGCGGGTTTGATTTTTTTATAGTCTACCTCCAACAAAGGTCTTCAGAAAAGAAATATGTTTTTCCAGTCTGCTTATCATGGGTAGCAGCATCGATCTTCTTTAACGATGTCGGGAAGCCAAGTGCCGAAATATCTTGTGGGCTTTCAGCAAGCAAGCTAAATCTGTGAAATGTCCAAAATTTCCTTCCTAAACAAATAAAAAAAAATTGTCAGAAATACATTTCTTGATTTGCTATAAATATATTTACAAGTAATAAAAGACACAATAGCTACTAAAAAAAAAAAATGAATGTTGATAGCTATGGACTGTATATTATTATTATTATTAATTATTATTTATATAGCACCAACTTATTCTGCTATGCTTTACAATATTATAAAGCGGGAAATTTAACAATAAAAATACAATTACAAAATGTTACAGAAACAATAGGTTCATGAGGACCCTGCTTAAACGAGCTTACAATCTAAAGGAGGCGGGATATAAAAAATAAAAGGGGCAGGAAGGAGAAGGATAGCATCCAAGCAACAAGGTGGAAAAGTAGCAGAACTGGAAAATGAGAGTGGAGTGTGGCCCTTTAAGAGAAAGCAAGAGACGGGTTTGTGAAATAGTAGTTATTCTGGGAGGCCATAAGCTTTTCTGAAGAGATGGATTTTAAGGGACTTCTTAAATGAGTGAAGACTCAGGGAGAGAATGTGATGGGGTAGACAGGCTATTCCAAAGGAAATGAGCCGCCCTCGAGAAGTCCTGCAAGTGCAAGATAGCAGTAGGGGTACGAGTAGTAGACAGGAGAACGTCACCGGCAGAGCAGTGAGACCGAGACGGAGCGCACCTATGAATTAGTGAATCATGTTTACAGGGGCTGTTTAACCCCTTAAGGATACATGGCATGTGTGACATGTCATGATTCCCTTTTATTCCAGAAGTTTGGTCCTTAAGTAGGTGTAGGCTTTTGCATGGGCTGTTTAACCCCTTAAGGACCAAACTTCTGGAATAAAAGGGAATCATGACATGTCACACATGTCATGTGTCCTTAAGAGGTTGTTAGTACTTTGAATTGACTCCTATAGGGTACAGGAAGCCAGTGTAAGAACTGACAAAGGGGGGAGGTGTTAGAGAAGCGAAGGGAGACAAAAATCAGCCTGGCGGCATTCATTGCTGATTGTAGCAAGGCAGCACAGCTTCTGGGAAGACCAGTTAAAAGATAATTACAGTAATCAATGCAGGAAATTACTAGAGCCTAAACAACAAACTCCTTAGCAGCATCTTGTGCAAGAAAGGGGAGTACACAGACAATGTTTTTAAGGTGGAAATGGCAGGATTTGGCCTTTTGTTCCCCTAAAAAGCCCTATACAATTTAAAAAGTGGTTGTTATAATAGGTTTATAATAGATCATACATTTTTATGTTGGGCTGTGTAACCTTGTACAGTGTATATCTAGATTAGATTGGTGCATTCGGATTCAGCCGACTTGTGGTTTGCCTGAATACTAATGGCATATTTGGCCTGATCAGCTGTCCAGCCGAATCCCTTATCTTCAAAATGCCATACGGACGTGTAACCGAGCAAACAACTAACGAGATGGCCGAACATTCGGTATTCAGGGATTTGCCACTGGCATCAAAAAGAGAGATAATTGATGGGAAAAAAAGATGATTAATGGCTAGGGTACAGCTACAAATGTTGAGTTTATTCACATATCTAGTAAGAAAAATGAACTAATAGAGGGAATATATTATCTACTTAATAAATATATATATATATATATATATATATATATATAAATAGATTTTTTAAATTTTATTTTTACTACTCTTCCTCTTTTTCCCAATATTGATTACTATTTCTCACTTGATCTGTGAGCCAATTGGTGGGAAAAAAAGCACCTATTGGGGTATTGCAAAATAGACACATAATTTTATCCTGTATATATTTTGCAGTACACTGATTGGCCCATATTCTCACCCTTTTTGTTTTATCTGAATAGTTCCCCTGAATAGTTTTTCATGAACATTCTGTCAAGCTAATCCAACAATAAACAAGTGTCGGACTTCCTGACCAAAATTGTAATTTTGGAAAAATATTATTTGGGAAAATCAAGCAATACCTTTGTGGAGACGTTTAGTATAGATAATATATTTATGTACAAATCTGGGCATTTTGGCATATTACTTGGCAGAGTTTGAGAATATTCTCGTAGTAAGAACACACCAGCTACGATTGTGTAACATTGAGAAACAATAATTAACTATTAGAATAATGACTTTTATAATTTTATAATAATGTAAGATACCAGCACCAGTAGGCAACTTGCCTGGTAAATTAAAATACTTGCCCTGACTTGGGGGAATAAATAAAAGATACAAAACCAAAAAAGTATTTTTTTTTGTACGAATAGTGCTAATAGAAATATAATAAAATCCTAAAACTTTCACAATGAACACACTGCATGTCAATAAGTACCTACTTACCACTGAATAAGTGAAGGGTACCATTTCTGGGGTAATTATAAGCAGCATCAATTGATGTTGGAAGACCTTTCCAAACAGAATTTATCGAGAATGCTTTGGCTGCAGCCACGTTGGGATGATGATACCAAACTAATCTACAAATGAATCATACAAAAATAGTGACCTTTTTTCTATTTTGCAGAAACTATTTTCCTTAAAAATTTTTTTTTTTTAAAATACTTTTTTTTAGCATATTTTCTTAAAAGAATTTGAGGCTAATAAGTAAATGTTACATTTACACTAAGCATGTCAAACTTGCGGCCTGTGAGCAGAATGCGGTCATCAATGTATGTAGGTGCTGACTGTGGCCTTGCGGCTGCCTAAATCACCTTAAGGAAGACTAACAAGTCGGCCCTCAGTCTATGACCGAGGGCCTGACACAGAGAGGGGGCCCGGCAGCTTGCCATTAATGCAGCCGGGTGCAAGACCCTTCCTTCAGTCTGCCCTGAGAGGGAGCCGAGCACATCCTTCTGCCTGCAGCTCCGCCTGGTGCAGAGCTGCAGACTGAAGTATCTCGCAATCTCCAGCCAATCAGAGCATTGCCGCAGGTTACCACGGCAACGCTCTGACTCTGCTGGAGATCGCGATACACTTAATATGTGGTCTGCAGCTCTGCACCCAGCAGAGCTGCAGACCGGATAAACAGACCACAGGACCACCAGGAAAAGCTGCCCACTGGATCACCAGGAAATGGATAAGGAAAAAATTATAAAAAGGTATTTCTGACACAACAACCCCCTCCACACTATAATACCCGACCTCTCCACGCTATATCACCCTTCCCCCCCCCTTCACACTATATCTGCTCCTCCTCCACACTATAGCCTTTGAGTTTGACATGCTTGGTTTACACCCAGATCTTGAAAAAAGTACATGTGTGCAAACATTGACGATACAACACATTGTAACAGTGGTGAATCTTTAATAAAGGCAGTCATTGAATATTTTTTTAAAAACACAGTGAGCTCTTTCTTGTGTTATATATGTTTGATAAACTATTAATATAGAATGCTAAATTCTATATTGTAATTACATTCCATATTTAAGAGGGTTAACAAAATGGTTAAATTTGCAGGAATTGTCTAATTTCCTATGAAACAGCTGACTCCTGCTATTGGTTGCCTTAATCATTCTTCCTCAATTTTACGCTTCGTGTAATATTTTCTTATATTCCTGCGCTGCCTCTGTGGTATAGTATAAATATATATAAGCGCGCTCACTCATCCACTAACAAGGAACTTAAAAGCTCACAGATTTATTGCTCTGTTATTTATTAGTTTTTTTTTTTAAAACACCTATTCTAGGCAAAAATAATGGGGCTTAGTTACAGTATATGATCATACATTGCATAAGCCTGCCACAACATCAATTTACCATATATATATATATTCATATATTTTTAATTATTTTATTTATTTATATATTATGTATTTATTTGTTTATTTTTGCCATAATTTCATTTAGCTTAGCTCAGCATCTTGTTTATATATTTGCGTTGCTCCAGTTGTCTTATAGTTTCTTATTTTGTGTTTTCACTTCTACAACTAGAAAACATGCTAATAGGTGCCTTTGCATTTCACATCAGCTGCACGTTGTGAACTTACTGATGTGCTCTTCAAAAGCTGGTGGACCAATGGCAAACCACGTGCTGTGATTTCAGTAAATAACCGAAGGAGAACCACAGATGTAACCATTTAATCTACTGTTGAAATGGACATTGACACATAAAACATTGAGTAAATAGATCTCCTACCACTAGTTGCAAATCCAAATTTTTCCAAAGTTTAAAATAATAGCATTACCCTTTCTAAGCATGAACAAAAATGTACTAATTTTATAAACCCATTCTGTCACTTACCTGAGATAAGTGCCAACGTCAGTAGGTAGGGAAGACCTATCACGGTTGTGTGATAACCCAACACGCAGTATGTAAACCCACAGAAAACACAAGCACGTTTTACCGAAACTTAAAAATTTCAGGTTTTAACGTAGGTAAAAAAGTTGTCAAGGAGTAGGCAAAGTCAAGATACCGGAGATCCAGAGAGTGATACAAGAATAGCCAAGTCAGGATACCAGAAAGGAGAAAGTCAAGATACAAGCCGAGTCAGGGAACCAGAGAACAGAGAAGTCAAAAGCCAACCGGAGTCAAAACACAGAAATACCTAATAGACACAGAGAATATCAAATAGCACTAAAGGGAACACAAGGAACCACAATAGGGCATGAACAAAGCAAAAGGTGCCCTTTTTATAATGGAGCATCTTTTGCTTTAAGACCACAACCCCAAAATGTTTTGGGCCGGTATTGATGATACTGGACCGCGTCATTGACGTCATAACGTCAGCACATATGCGTCGCTTCAGTAAAAGGGGTATGACTCCAGCGTCCGGCATGGGACATGCCGAACCTGCTGTGAGAGGAGCCAGCCTCGGGTACTACACCACGTGGGCGAGATGGAGAGAGGTAAGAGATCGTGACAAGACCTAACTAATACGCATGTGGGGTAATGGCTGCATTCGCATTAGTATTTCCCCCCATAGGAAACATTTCTAATACTTTTCTATCAGGTTTTTGGTGACACTGGATGTCCTTATGCTGGAGTTGAAGTTCACCCTCAAAGGTAATTATAGCAGAGTATTAAAAAATGCAATATAATTACCTTTGCAGGGTTAGGGGATCTGCGAATATGTACCCAGATCACTTCAATGAGCTGAAGTGGTTTGGGTGCCTATAGTTTCCCTTGTCAATATTGTAGCTGTGAGAAATACATGCATACTCCAGCACACAAAATATATTGAAATGTCTCCTTGTAGCTTGCTTTAAAAGCGAACAAGCCCAGAACTTGCAGCTGACATTTAAGCCTGTAAAACTGGCATGGGTGCTGATATTGTTTGTGAGACCAAGGTTCTATGTAGAATTTCTATGTGGAAACATTCTACAGAAACCTGGAAGCCATGAGATATAAGTCACTATAAATGTTTAGATGTAGTGTTTCTTTGAAGTTTAGAAATATTCTCATTTGGTAAAATAATTATCAATGTCTAATAGCATTTCCTCCTCTCGCTCATTGTTTTTTAAATAGCTTCAAATAGTGTTGAAGCCCAAAACACACTTTTGGTTAATACCCGTCTTTAAAAACAATGATGGCTTTGTCCAGATGTGCTATAGCATCGACAGGGTTACAGATTGATGGGATGGTCATCTTCGAGTTTCTTGATCCTGGAAAATAACACAGTGTGTATTACATTTCCACGAACAGACAGATGCTTACCAATTACAGAAAGATGATATAGAACAATTCTTCAGAGGGCAGACGAAGCACAGTCCCATGGCAGTTTGTCAGAGTGCCCATAGCATACTGGGAAGTCCCTTAATTGGTTTCCCATGTGATATCTGGAAATGTTTCTCTGACACATATAAGAAACCACATTTTATTTTGCTTGAAGCCTTGGAATAAACTGCCTGGCTGAATGTTTACTTTTAGCACATAAAGTTAATGGAGTAGATACTACAATTATCTAACTTGCGCATTAACAAGCTGGACGTTATAAATTATTGCCCATCAACCACCACCAGGCAACGACTAGTGCACAGACCAGCTAGGTCTTGTCGAGACCCCTAAGTGGTGGATTATATATATATATTTATGGAAGGGTGCTGCTCAATATTTCATGAAAGCAACCCATTTGCCAGTCAATTTGCACTGATTTATAATCCTATCCCTTGGAGATATGCATTAATGGGTTACTCCAATCAGTGATTTGAAGTGGTCATGATGTCTTGAGTCTGTACGAGCAACGTTTCGCTATGAAACGTGGCGCATTTGGAGTTTAACTCCTTTGCTGTCAGAGATCTATCTCCACTGTCAGCAGCATTCATTGAGGCATCATTAGCCAGCCAGGAAAAACATTTTCTGGCTTGCTAGTATCAATTTTGTGTACACACATATAAATATATAAAATAAATACTAAGGCAAATAAAAAATAAAAAACTTTAGGGGCTCTAAGTTGTTATATTCAGAGAACATAGAAGAGATAGAATAAGAAAATATGAGAGAAATGCATGTAGACCATTTTAGAGCTAAAAAAAGGTATATGAAAGTAAGTATTAAGAAGACGCTGATAAGCAATATATAATATATACTTTATATCATTTTTACCATATAGCACTTGTATTCCACGGATGTCATCATCAGCAAGTGAATAATTCTTTAAACTGATGAACGTGTAGAGAGGGAACATTAACGCTCTGGGGTCACTGGAATGGTCTAAACCGAGAGAATGGCCGATCTCATGAGCAGCTACAGTGAACAAGTTATATGCTAGAAGCAAGAAAATGTACATTAAATTGCTATCTTAACATGGCTGACATGGAAATGGACCGATCAATTGTCCAAGCTTAATGGTTACATTGTTAAATAGGTAGACAAAAGACTCAAGTTAATCGAGTTCAATCTTTCATATATGTTTCTGCTGCTGATCCAACAATTCAAGCGGGATAGTAACATTTCCTGATCTAGTCTCCGATGTAAGGTTAACACCAGGCAAGTTTGCAGGAGGAGACGCCATGTTGGTTGGGGAGCAAGAATTTGTATTTAATCAGTGCTTTGAACACAGTAGGGGAGTGTATTACACAACGCCAGTTTAAAATCAATACACAATGCATGACATACAGAAAAGTCACAACACAAGGTTCAATTTTCATTGCTTTTGTGATTGTTTTGTTTCCTCTGTGTGTGACTAATCTGTTTGATCCCTCTCTTTTATTATTACAGTCCTGATGTGTCATCAGTCCAAAGGGGCTTACAGCCTAACTTACCTTAACTTTACTGTAAAAACATTTATGCAGTAAGAAATGTATTCATTACACCGTGAATGGTGGCAAATTGACGGGTGAATTACAAAATTTAGACTATTGAGTTGAAAAAGTTGTGAAGATGTTTTCTAAACTGACTTTTATGGCCTAATTTTACAATTCCCTTCTATCTGTGGAAAATAAATCCCTGAGTTTAACACGGGCTAACATTCAGTTCACTCATTACAAGTTCATAATTAAAACCCCTTTAAACTGAAAGTGTCCTGCCAAATATGCAATTGTGTCCTTTTACATGGACTAAAACATTATGTAATCACAACACTTTGAACAAAAGTAATCTCACTATATTATAATAACATTCTTGCTCTCTACTGCTGTGTCATGTACATTTCCATAATAATCACAATAAGGCACTTTAGGAGTAGCTGTACGATTAGTCTTACTTACTCCATTCAATATCTCTTACTGTGGAATGCCATGTATGCCATACTTAGACACAATCTTGGAGGTGGCAGAAGCACTTTCAGGTAAGCAGATATTTTAAGCTATATATTTCTATTAAATTTCATAAGTATAATGCTTAGCTTAAATTACATCTACAATAAAGTGAACTTTAAAACTATGTTCTATCACAATGGTATTTGATTTTGTCTGTAAATATATTATTTTCTATGCCAATAAAGATAACAAAAACAATAAAGAAATTGAATACAATTTATTAATGAGGCTATTATGAAACATCATTATCAAATATATAATATGATAAAATTATAAAAACTCATATTAATGGTACAAAATATACTTTTTTTTACATATCATATTTTCCTTAACTACAGAAAAATTATATTTTAGCAGTGTAACATTGTGTCACATAATAAAAAAACTATTACCTTCTGCGGTCATTGTCCACGTTTCATCGTCATCGAAATGGATGTCTCCACCAATGTCCGCTCCAGGAGGAAAAGCATGAGCTAATATACCAGATGGTCCATCAAACGGGAAAAAGTCCTCATGATCTAAATTACAAAATTGATCTTTAGTTTCTAATTATGTCAGTATCTATATAGCAGTATATTCAACATGTTGAGTTTTGTTTGGTGCAGTTTTGGATGGCGGTGCATATTTTAGAGTGCAGCATACAGAGTGAAACATAAAAGTACACTTTTTGAAATTGCCTCTATGGATAAGTTTGGGTGTACTTAGGGTTAGGCGCAGGGATAGGCAACCTTCGACACTCCAGATATTGTGCGCTACATACCCCATAATGCTCTTGAACCCATAATGCTGGCAAAGCATCATGGGAGGTGTAGTCCAAAAGATCTAGAGTGCTGAAGGTTGCCTATGCCTGGGCTAGGGGGTCTTAGGGTTACAGATATGAAATACATGGGGTTAGGGGACTATCCATGATTATGTTGAGGAACACTGAACTCAAGATGTTGAGGAACGTCCATTACAATCCACAGTGCCTTGCAAGGGATAAAGAGTACACAGTACAGAGTACAGGGGTGTAAGGATGCAATGTTCCAAAGGTTGAATACACTGTACCCCATATTGTCTACTTATGTTCTCTAATAAATGCAAATCTGTAATGATGCTGCACTCTTATCTCCATAGTGCTCTTAAACCATCACTATTATGATCCTCACAATCTTAAATGAACACTATAGGCATCAAAACAACCTTAGCTTAATGAAGCAGTATTACAGTGCAGATTAAGCCGCTCAGTTCTCTGCCAGTTAGGAGTTAAATCACTTTGTTTATTCAGCCCTAGTCACACCTCACTGCATATGACTATCACAGCCTTCCTAAGAACTTCCTGTAAATAGAGAGCTAATATATATATGTTGTAATTCTTTAGTTTTGGCATGCAGTGGTGATACAGAAGTAAATGAAGACAATGGTTGTGCATATGAAAAAAGTGGGGAGACATGAAAATTCAACAAGTAATGTCTTGCTAATCTGCACTTTTTAAAAAGATATATAACAAGATATGTCAGCAGAGAAATTCCAAAATACAGGAGGAAAGGAACAAAGTCTGACTTCACTAACTGACGTGTAGCTTAATACACGAGTTAAGACAGTATAAGAGGGTAGGAAGGGCCGAGTGCCCAAGAAAAAACATATTTCTGCTTAACTAACATGTTTTGCCCCGGGGACCCCCAGACGTATGCAAGAGGTGAGAGATGCCCATCAGGAATAAAAATTAACATTAAAAAAACAATAAGATTAAAGTAGATCATGTATATGAAAGGAACTTGGTTGGGGCATGATGAACAGTAGCAGCAAGAGTCACGAATTAGCCAACTCCTTGCAGGCTTACTGGACAGTCCCACTTTGGTCTGCCCTCCGGTGTGCTCCCCAGCTCCAGTGTCAGCCGGGGAGGTACTCTGACATCGAGGCAATAAATGCTTAGCGGTGGTGTTGTTGCCTCCCGGTGTGTGCCGACCTTCTGGGTGTCTGCACAAGCAGGACTGTGAGAGCCACGGTCTCCTGGCATGCGATGCACTGCAGCCACTTGTCCAGGCTGCCTCAGCTGTTGCCGGCTTTCGCATGTACGCTTTTCAATAGCAGCCAACTGTGGATTCTGGGGGGGATGTTCACTCCTCACCCGTCTAACAATGTTGCGGTCATCTGTCCAGCATGTCCAAGAATGCCGTGATGAGCCACTCAAGCTGGCAGGTAAGCTCTCTGCTGCTGGCTGCTGGACATGAGGTATCCACCATTTTAGAGAGATGGCTTCTATTCAGTGCAGGGTTACAGAAGCAATTATAAGGTACAGGAGAGCTCCAAAGGTGAGGACCGGGATGACCCCCACCAGTCCAAAGGGGGGTGAAACGAGACCAGGGCCACATCTTGCCAAAGGTTCAGCTTACAGGAGGTGGCTGTCCACCCCACTCACCATCTGACAAGGCCTCAGCTACTGCGGTACAAAAGTGCCCCCAAAAGGGCCAGGATTCATTGTGAGATCATAACTTGTGTAACAGCACCACTGTGCATGTAAGACTGCTGCTCTTAGGTATCAGAAAATCGTTGGTTTTATGCTGTATATCAATAAAACAGCAGGGGCCGTTCATCCTTGGTGGTCCACGCCCACCCACAGAGAGCTAATATTTAAACGTTCCTTATTGCAGTCTAATTAATTTAGAATTTCTTATCTCCTACCTTGTCAATGGCCTGTTAGAGACTGCAGAAGCCTCCTGTGTGAGATTAACATTCAATATAGAGAGCAGGAGATAAAAACTTGCAAAGTATGTTCATGCAGGCTGCAATAGTCACAGCCAGATGAGGTGTGGCTAGGGCAGCATAGACAGAAACAAAAGTGATTTCACTCCTAAATGGAAGAGAATTGAGCAGTGACACCGCAGAGGCATGATCCATACACCAAAACTGCTTCATTAAGCTAAAGTTGTTTTGATGCCTATTGTATCCCTTTAAGTCAATATTTTTAAAGTGCTTTAATTATGCTGAATAAATCACAATTACCAGTTATCACTATTACCTTGTGCTCCAAATGATATCACTATGTCAGCAGGTCCACTGTGAAGCTGAATGAATTCAAGTGGGGTCACCTCACTCCAAACCCTCAGTGCGTTCCATATGGCCCAATCGACTTGTACAGCTGGAAGGTCAGGTGTGTAGTGAACAATTCTATAAAATGAAGAAGTGACTATTAATGAGACAACAAAGCAGCAAATGCAAGCACGTGAATGATGATGTGTTTCATTGTATTTTTACTTTTTTTTTTTTCCTCAAGCATAACCAGCAAGCATATTCATTAAACTCTAAATTGTTGTAAGATCATTATTTAGGGTAAAATATAGGAGATGTTTTCCAGATTAGCTGGTTTTAGAACATCTCCTTTCTGTCTTTGGTGATCACCAGACTTCTCCTGCCATGGACTTAAAGTTCTATCTAGATTGTGCCACACTCCGAGTGCTTGTGGAACAATCACTGATTAGACCATACAACGGAGTCAATGCAAAGAATGTTCACTGTTTATTAAACAGAACAAAGGTTTAAAGGAAATCAATAAAGGGGCATTTTAGGGTTGTTTCATTATTTACCAAGCAAATATTGGCAATCATTAATTAATAGCATGGGCAGCTGGTGCAAGCAACATGGTGAAAACATATAACAAATCATTGCTCTAAAACTTATCCAAGGGGCATTACTAGGTGGGATCTCCTTAGAATATGAATGTATAGAGATAGGGTCTTCTTAGAAAAGGAAAGTGTAGGGATAGGGTCTTCTTAGAATAGGAAGGTGTAGGTATAGGGTCTTCTTAGAAAAGGAAGGTGTACAGATAGGGTCTTCTGAGACTAGGAAGTTGTAGGGATAGGGTCTCCTTAGAATATGAAGGTGTAGGGATAGGGTCATCTTAGAATAGGAAAGTATAGATATAGGGTCTTCTCAGAAAAGGATGGTGTAGGGATAGGGTCTTCTTAGGATAGGAAGGTGTAGGGTAGGGATTTCTTTGAATAAGTAGTTGTAGGGATAGGGTCTCCTTAGAATATGAAGGTGTAGGGATAGGGTTGTCTTAGAATAGGAAAGTATAGAGATAGGGTCTTCTCAGAATAGGAAGGTGTAGGGATAGGGTGTTCTTAGAATAGGAAGGTGTAGTATAGGGACTTTTTTGAATAGGAAAGTATAGAGATAAGGTCTTCTTAGAATAAGAAGTTGAAGGGATGTGGTCTTCTTAGAATAGGAAGGTGTAGGGATAGGGTCTTCTCAGAATAGGAAGGTGTAGGCATAGGGTGTTCTTAGAATAGGAAAGTGTAGGGATAGGGTCTTCTTAGAATAGGAAGGTGTAGGGATAGGGTCTTCTGAGACTAGGATGTTGTAGGGATAGGGTCTCCTTAGAATATGAAGGTGTAGGGATAGGGTGTTCTTAGAATAGAAAGGTGTTGGGATAGGGTCTACTTAGAATAGGAAAGTATAGAGATAGGGTCTTCTTAGAATAAGAAGTTGAAGGGATATGGTCTTCTTAGAATAGGAAGGTGTAGGGATAGGGTCTTCTCAGAATAGGAAGGTGTAGGGATAGGGTGTTCTTAGAATAGGAAGGTGTAGGGATAGGTCATCTTAGAATAGGAAAGTATAGAGATAGGGTGTTCTTAGAATAAGAAGTTCAAGGGATATGGTCTTCTTAGAATAGGAAGGTGTAGGGATATGGTCTTCTCAGAATAGAAAGGTGTACGGATAGGGTGTTCTTAGAATAGGAAGGTGTAGGGATAGGGTCTTCTTAGAAGATGGGGAGTATAGAGATAGGGTCTTCTTAGAATATGGGGAGGAGTAAAGATGGCCAGGTGCAAAGCAGAGAATACGTACACGATATCTTTGTAGTGTACAAGGTTGCTTGTCTTATGATTTAGCTAAACAGAAATGAACACCTCACTTTTGCCATTCAGATTTCAATGTGCTACAATTCGGAATTTACTTAATAACCATCTAATTTTTTTCCAACTTGTATATATAGGAAGCTAAGAACCGGGTCACTAGAAGGAATATAACAGCTCAGTTTTAAATGGGGTAAATAAGGAATATCCGACAGGACTTGTTTACCCAATAAGCAGCAGAGGATTCTATTCACTAAACACGAAGCTTCCCAAATAATAGATTCTTATATACATACCCCAGTCAGAAAAGCTGACAAAATTGGGATTTTTGTAACAAACTTATTTTACTCATTTTTTAATAGAAATCTCAATTCACTAAAACGTGCTGCTTAGTAAGGTAGATAAACCCTATAGCTATTTTAGCTACTAAACAATTACATGGCATTTAATATGTTTTTTGTTAAAACTCCATAGTGGAAATCCTGCAAATTATTATACTGATCCTGAATGTTTATTGATATACTTATATGTTTGGTACATTCGATTCTTTTTAAACAGATTAAGCATATTAATATAATAAATAATAAAAAACATTAATAATGTGCCATAAACACATTTTTTTTTTTCATGCCCCTTGGTCGACCAAGAGGCTAGACATTTCTCATATCCTGCTGCTGGTTATAGCAAACTGTGCATGTACTGTGAAAGACAGGTCTCACCATACACACACACACACACAATACGATTTCTGTCTTACACTTTCGTGGGAAAAGGTAAAATAACATGTCAGACCACATAGTGTAACACATTTATGAAATGAAAATAGGTGCTGGTCAATAATTTCTTAAATAAATGATGCAGACAGGGGTGTGTTTGGTGAGCACATCATAGCACAAGTACCTGTGCAATGATGAGTCAGGATAAACTGGACTCCTATACTTAAAATTAGAACTTTGCTTATTACATGTGTGTGTTATTCCCACCTAAAGATATTTAGATTCTGGAGACAAAAAGCTGCATTTCTAAAAATTCCTTGCAAATACCCATAAACATGGAATTTGTATTTCTGAAATATCTTCTTACACCTACTGTATGTGATAAAAAATGTACTTATGCTTGTATGCTAATATTCAAAATCCTGTCTAAAATATAGCAAGGCTTAAGTAATATAAACTGTGAAATGTTTATTCCCTTGAGATTAATTTAAAGATGGAGCTATTTAAATCTTGAAAGTTTGCTAAATTATAATGTTATAGGGCCAGACATCCCAACTCTCCCGGAAGTTCAGGGAGTCTCACGCATTTTAATAGCGGCTCCCTGACGACCGCAAATTATATACAATATCCCGGAAATCACACACAACAGACATACGATGTCATATAATATTATTTGCGGGCCACCAGATGGGTATTGCTGAACTGTAGTATGGGCCAGCTGAGAGGAAGTGACAGCCTGTCACTTCCTCCCAGCTTCATAATAGAGTGCCACACAGTAGGGAGAAGGCAGCAGTAGTGCACACAAGCAGCATGGAGAGGCAGGAGTGAGCTGCAGCAGAACCTCATGCTCACTTCCCTCAGCCTCAACCAGCATCATCAGGACTCCAAGCAAGCCACCCTATGGGACACAAAAGGTAAGCTAACATGAGGGAGGCTGTAAATATAACACTTATAACATGTATGTGTCTATGTATGTCAGAATGTGTGTGTGTGTGTGTGTCAATGAGTGTGTATCTGAGTGTGTGTGTGTGTCAATGTGTGTATGTGTCAAGGTGTGTGTATGTATCAAGATGACCTTGATACATACACACAACTTGACACACAGATAAACACACTAACATACAGATACAAACACTGATACACACTTACATACTGGCATATACACATAGTGACACACAGACACATACAGTGACACACACACACACATATGCACACACCTTAACAAACAGATACAAACAATGACACATACACACACTCAGATACACATGTACAAACAAGGATATGACATTTTATTATGACAGAACACAACTATTTATTTAACAACATTTTGAATCAAGGTGTGTGCAAGTGTCAGTGTGTTAATAGAGTGTGTAAATAGTTGCAGTATGTTGTTAAATAAATAGTTGTGTTCTGTCATAATAAAATGTAGTGTTCATACATTGACGGCTGAGTGTGTGTGTGTGGGGGGGGGGGCAGTAGCTGGTAAAGTTATTATTTACATAACAATTTAAAGTATAGATGAAACAGAAACATGAGATTTTGAACATCCACACATCTATCCATCAGCACCAACTCAGGATCAGGTAGGTAGTGTGCGTATACACTTACGGTATATTTTCTGCAAGTGGACTGGCCTAAACATCATGAGCAGGCAGTGCGTCCTAACTTTCTCCAGGTACTTAAATGACTTAAAGGAACACTCTAGGCACTATAACCATTTCATCTCATAGAATTGTTTACATATATCCCTCCATTCCGTTTTAAACAATATACGAGCAGTGGAACATTGAGTAAACCTTTGGCCGCCAAAGGCCAGATCCTGCTGGAGGTATAGCTAAGGCTCAGATTAGGCTTTGTCCTAAACATATCAATTTGTTAATTCAGCAATAGATGACTGTAATAGGTTGAAAGCAGTCGGCTGACACTCTCCAATCAGCCAATCAAAACTGCCCATTGCTGCCCAAGCTAATGTTTCCTCATTAGGAAACCACATAGGAGAAAGGCTGCCAGTGATTCTCATTTAGTGTTAAACCATTCGAAAACAGTTTAGTACTGAATGGATGGATGGAGCCAGGAGACTCCAGACAATATAACCTCTTCAATTAGATGATACAGTTACAGAGCCTTCAATTGGGAAATAATAATTAATCAATGATTACCCATGTGCAGTCATTTGGAAGAAAAAAAGCACATACAACCATGGGAGTTCACAGGGGGGGCAAGAGGGGGCACTTTCCCCCCTCTGGATTTTTCAGTTTGTGCTGATATTTTTAGTTTGAGTGATAATAAACAGTAGGTGGCGCTGTGAATGGAGAAAGGCCGGGATAGGAAGCTACAGCTTATCCCTGCTTCTTTCTCCTGACTGCATCCGCAGGGGAACAGCACAGATTGCAGCCAGCAAGCATGGGGGGGCAACCTACAGACCAGGTAAGTGAGGGATGGGGGGGGCAACCTACAGGCCAGGTAAGTGAGGGATGGGGGGGAGACAGCCTACAGGAAGGTAAAGTAGGAACAGAAATGATCAGAAAGGTTCTGCAAGGCGCAGTAGGGATCAGCAAGGAATAGGAAGAGCGGAAGGGGCAGCAAGAAGCAGAAAAGAGCAGGAAGGGGCAGCAAGGAGCAGGAGGGGGTCAGCAAGGAGCAGGAGGGGGTCAGCAAGAAGCAGGAAGGAGCAGCAAGTGGCAGGAAGGGTCAGCAAGGAGTAGGAAGGGGCAGGAGGGGTCAGCAAGGAGTAGGAAGGGTCTGCAAGGGGCAAGAGGGGTCAGCAAGGAGTAGGAAGGGTCTGCAAGGGACAGGAGGGGTCAGCAAGGAGTAGGAAGGGGCAGCAAGGAGCAAGAGGGGTCAGCAAGGAGTAGGAAGGGTCTGCAAGGGGCAGGAGGGGTCAGCAAGGAGTAGTAAGGGGCAGCAAGGAGCAGGAGGGGTCAGCAAGGAGTAGGAAGGGTCTGCGAGGGGCAGGAGGGGTCAGCAAGGAGTAGGAAGGGGCAGGAGGGGTCAGCAAGGAGTAGGAAGGGTCTGCAAGGGGCAGGAGGGGTCAACAAGGAGTATGAAGGGTCTGCAAGGAGCAGGAAGGGGCAGCAAGAAGAAAGAAGGGGCAGCAAGGAGCAGGAAGGAACAGAAAGAATCAGAAGGAGCCGGAAGGGTCAGCAAGGAGTAGGAAGGGGCAGGAGGGGTCAGCAAGGAGTAGGAAGGGTCTGCAACGGGCAGGAGGGGTCAACAAGGAGTAGGAAGGGTCTGCAAGGAACAGAAAGGGTCTGCAAGATGCAGGAAGGGGCAGCAAGAAGAAAGAAGGGGCAGCAAGGAGCAGGAAGGAACAGAAAGAATCAGAAGGAGCACAAAGGTAAAGTAGGAGAAGGAACAGAAAGGGACTACATGGAACAGAAAGGGTCAGCAAGGAGCTGGAAAGGGCAGAAAGAAGCAGAAAGCAGGAAGGGGCAGCAAGAAGGAGGAAGGGTCTGCAATGAGCAGAAATGAGCAGGAAGGGAAATCAAGGAGCAGAAAGGGTCAACAATTATATGGAAGGGGCAGAAGGAGCACAAAGGTAAAGTAGGAAAAGGAACAGAAATGAGCAGGAAGGGGCAGCAATGAGGGGCAGCAATTTAGATGAAGTTGTTATGGTGACCAGAATGTTCCTTTAATTTGCTTAAATGAACACTATAGTGTCAGGAATACAAACATGTATCACCATACACCATAGTTGTGAAAACGCTATTCACCCTGTATTTATGTGATAATGACTATGCTCCTCCCCTTCATGACACTGTCAAAAAGGGGCCATGCATGGATGTCATTACAATTATGCCCCCCTCCCCCCCCCCCCGAGAAAAATTCCTGCTGACGCCCATGCATACAACCTAAACTAAAGGAAATAAGATAGAATTAAAAAGTTTCATTTTCAAGAAATCTTCCTAGCACAATGAATAATACTAAAAGTTCTAGTGATTATGATGTCCCTTAAAATATCTGTACAACATTAATAATTCTAAGTAGATCCGTGGTGCAATACCTGTATGTTATTATGTTTGAAGACCATTTCAAATTCCTGTGGATTATTTTGTATTCTGACATATCAGGTACCCCACATCGAGGCTGCCTCATCAACCCCAAGGTTTCATTGTCAAGTCTTCCAGTTACCGCCAGTCCGAAAAAATACTGCAAAGCCTCTAGGGGATTTTCCACTGCACTTCTCTTGCCACTGACAGATTTGGAAGGGAGTTTGTACAAGTTCTTCAGATACACCTACATGCATTGAACCAAAATCAATATCAATATATATACACCTTCACCAAACTTTGAAATTTAATTGAGAAACAGCAGCTAAAAAATATGTTACACCGAGAAAATGAAAACACATGGAAGTCCTATTTGCTATAGATGAAGTTGCGCAGGGTTGACTCTAAAAACTCTGACAATGATATATGCAAATATTTTTCCCAGCTCATGATTTGGCCTTAGTCATTTGCCAACAAATCTCATCTGCTTTTTATCGGAATACCAAAAGATTGGTTTTAGATTGATTTCATTATAATTTTAATTTTAATTAGGCAATACATGAACGAGAAATCGTCCCATCCTAGACAGAAAGTGTTATTGAACAAATAATCGATGAAATATGAAAGAAAGTTTAATTACTTTTCTGGACTTGATGAAGCTTGGGCAGGCAGGATTAACTAAAGGGGACCTTTAGGTAGCTGCCTCGTGCCCAAGAGTTAGGCAGGAGCTCCAAAGCCATGAATGTGTTTGTCCCCATTCACCATTCTATGTAAAGATTGAAGAGAGCAACTCAAACAGATAACATTACATCTGTGAGTAGTTAATCCTTCTCGAAGTTTGGGCCGATTGTTCTGTGTTTCTCAAGATGTCTGGTGGGAAGGCCTATGCAGAAGATACATAAGCGCATTAACATCCAGGAGATAAAAAGTCCTCGTGAGAAGATGGATGTCAAACTCTGTCCCAAAGAGGCAACAGATATTTGTTAGAAGTGTTTCATCTCGGTATGGATAACTTGAAATGCTGCAATTTCTTGCCATTCATCTCTGAGAGAAGTTCTAATGCGAGCGCTGGATAACCGGTTATACAGCACTCGCATTAGAACTTCCCTCATAGATGAATGGCAAGAAATTGCAGCATTTCAAGTTATCCATACCGAGATGAAACACTTCTAACAAATATCTGTTGAAATATTGCTTGGAAACTCCACCTTTTATATGTATGTATATTATCTGTTTTTAAGTGGTGTAGGGGATACCACTTTTAGGTGTTAGAGTTTTTTATTCATTCACCTACACTTTTGTGTACTTATTTTGTTGTACTAAATATACAATCCTATTTGTGCGACTTCTTCCTATATGAGGCAGAAGATTTTGTATGGCAAATTACCATACATAAATCATCCTTGGTGGAGAGAGTGGGGTTGACATTACCACAATCTTAAAGAGCTGGAGTTTCTCTCAGTGGGGATGTCAATGGCGACATCCTGCTACGGTTCATTGCCATATTGAAATTCTAGACCCGAGAAGAGCTGACACATAGTTCTAAATTGACAATATGTGATCTTGCCAAATGTTCCCATAGCATTTTCAATCTCTACTCATTGTGGCAGTGACTATGTCGTTTATAGTAGATTAAGAGTTGAAGCAACTATGTTCATTGGTGGCTACTCACACTCCTCTTGCCTGTTTCTATTATGTAAAGCAATCTTATTATCTCTTTTTTTTTTTTTTGCAATGTGACTTTTTAGTTTTTATAATTATAAGTTTGTTTATATTGTACTCGGTGCAGCCTACAATTAGAAGAGAACTGTCACTTCTCTAAAATTTACACAATAGAATAAAATGTTGAGAAATCACCTTGACCTATATTTTCATGAAATGTTCCATCTTCTTTTAACTTTACATTAAAGTTTTAGCAAATAACAGTATAATCCAGTTCAGATACGGTAAAACCAATGGCAAAAATGGCAAATAATGAGGAAAAATAGAGACATTGTTTAACTTCTCCTCTGCTTTGTATGGTTTATATATGCTGATTGGCAGATGCAAATGACAGAACTAATAACAATGATTGACAGGGAGATCCAATGAGGGCACCCAATTGCAGGATGAAGAGATGGGAATTGATACATTTAATTTTATTTTTCACACCTCATAAATACATATCTGTCAAATAAAGAGATAGGTAAACATAATATTAAAACTTCTGTGGACTGACAGTTCATGTTTAATGCCAGCATATCTAGTAAACAATTGCCACTTTAATCCCTTAAGGACACAACTTCTGGAATAAAAGGGAATCATGACGGAATATTTCCGTCATGTGTCCTTAAGGGGTTAAACAGAACAAAATATAATGTTTAGCTTAGCTAAATATGTGTAATATAAAGATAGGTTTTGTTAAAAATTGTACCAACCTTTGAAAACTGTACATCAGAATCCGAAGTTATCCCTGGAACAGAAGTTAACTTGGACGGAACTGGAAAGCAGTCTGCAAGAATCCAGAACAAAAATCCGAAGATAACATGCGACACATTCATGTTTGTAATGAAATTGATCTATGCCATCCAACACTTTAACACTTGTATTTATATAAAATGTATTTCCTAACGAACTAAAATACTTGTGATGCAAGAGTTCAGAATGATTTGGTTGAAATATATTACAAGAATTACAAAATCATTTGGAAATTAAACCAATGAACTAATTATTAGATAAGAAAAACTGACACATACACTAGTATTTCATTGTTTATATTTTCAGTGAGATAAACGTGATGAGTTGCTAGATGTCCATACTATATCATCAGCTTTATTGTGCAAAATCAGCATAAATAAACATTAAACTCTTTCTCTGTGTGGGACTCAATCTAACCTCAACAACTTGAAGGTTTGCCAAGAAATCAACAGAAATGATCTGCGGAATAACTAGTTTCCATTCTCTTTTGAGTATCTAGAAAATAATAGACAATTATTGTTTTTTGCAGTGAAAGAGAAACTATTGCATTTATCACATTAATTTTGCATTATATATATTCACAATGCTTTTACAACAGATTATTTAAATACACATCAGCTTATTTAGCACCAGAACTATATGGTTTTTCTCCCATGTTGGAATTGGTGTAGGACCCACCAATATTGGAGTCCTGTGAAGTAGTGGTGGACTTAACACAATATGGCCATATGGTGGAACTGAATCCCCAAACAGGTGGCCCTCACTTTGCGACCTACCTGTTTTGTGACGGCTTGCACTTACGACTAGCTCTCTAGCGTGGGGATTCAAGGGATTCCCCACGTTAGAGAGCTGGTCTATGTTCCGGGAATCCCTCTAATCTATGTTCAGGGAAATTTTCCCGAACATAGAAAAATGCACAAGAGCAGGGAATCCATCTAATCTATGTTCGGTGAACGTTCCCGAACATAGATTTGAGGGATTCCCTGCTCTGCTGCGCTTGTATATGTTCAGGTAAATTTCCCCGCACAAAGACCTGCACTGGTACGCAGGCACCTCACTTACTGACCAATTCGTTTTACGACTGTGTCGTAAGAATAGAACCCGGTCGGTAAGTAAGGAGCATCTGTATTGGTTTGCTGAGATAGGTGATTTTAAGCAGCCTTATAAAATTTAAAAATGTATTTTATGTGTGCGCTGTTCCTTAATCTGTATTATGCATACATTTTGGTCACGACGGCAGCACCATTCCTGCAAGATGCACATTCTGGGTGTGCCCCCAATTCCCTTTTGTCTTTAATATGTAAGTTTGGAATCTAGACCAGATTTCTTTTGCGTTGAGCACCCTGTCCAGCTCCCCAGCTTCAGAGGCCTTTTTGAAAGTGACCACAGGTATATGTTTAAGGAGGTTTCGGATAATAAGTTCACTTTGATTATAATTTTCATTGAGCAGATATATAATTTGTATTGTGATTATATACATCAAAGCACTATCACTTTAATTGTTTAGTTTTGACACTGCATTTCTTTTAATTAAGCTTATTACATTAATTCTGCATTATTTATAATCACAATGCTCTTACAACAGATTATTTAACCCCTTAAGACCGGAGGGCGTACTATTACGCCCTATTCTAAGCGACTCTAAACGCTGCCGGGCGTAATAGTACGCCCTCCGGTCTTTTCCTACTTACCCGGTCGCCGGCGATCCCACGCCGGCAATCGAGGTTGGGGGGACTCCAAGGGAACCCGCCCGCAGCATGTCCGACGTCCTGGAAGCCCCCGGCCATGTGAGAGTGGTGTCCTTGCGAGGACCCCACAATCATATGGCCGGTGGTAGCTGCCTCCTGCATTGCCAGCAGGGGGGCTGCCTGTAATGACATGTGGTCCCCTGCTGGCTGAAAATAAAATTAAAATAAATTAAAAAGTGTAAAAAAATAAATAATATATACTTAGATCATATATATATTATATATATATGATCTAAGTATATATATACACATATACATACACACGTACACTGTTTGGGGGAATTTTACTATTAATATATATATAATTATATATATATATATATATTAATATCAAATTACACGTAGACTGATACTGATTATATATATATAATTATTGTTATATATATATTTATATATAATATAAAAAAATAAATGTAAATACGTTAAAAAATAAAATTAAAAAAATAATTTAAAATAAATAATGAAAAAATATATAGATGTGTGTTATTTCGTTCTAACTGTATTGTGAAATTAATATATATATCAAAATACACGTAGAACGAAATATATATATATATATATATACATAAATATATATGTATATATCAATATATATATATATATATATATACACACACACACACACACACACACATAAATAAAAATATTTTAAAAAAATATATATATATACACATATATATTAATTCTACATATATATTTATGTAATATTTTTACATAATTAGGTATCTTAATTAATTACAATTAGCGGGACCTGCCTGACAACCCATGCCGAAAGTAAAGGGAATTTAATTTGCTATCACTATATTTAACCCTATAACTTTCCAAGACACCATAAAACCTGTACATGGGGGGTACTGTTCTACTCGGGAGACTTCGCTGAACACAAATATTAGTGTTTCAAAACAGTAAAATGTATTACAACGATGATATCGCCAGTAAAAGTGACGTTTTTTGAATTTTTCACGCACAAACAGCACTTACACAGACGATATTATTGCTGCGATACTTTTTACTGTTTTGAAACACAAATATTTGTGTTCGGCGAAGTCTCCCGAGTACAATAGTACCCCTCATGTACAGGTTTTATGGTGCTTTCAAAAGTTACAGCATCAAATATAAGGCTTGCGTTTAATTTTATTCACATTAAAATTCGCCAGATTGGTTACGTTGCCTTTGAGACCCTATGGTAGCCCAAGAATGAAAATTACCCCTATGATGGCATACCATTTGCAATAGTAGACAACCCAAGGTATTGCAAACAGGGTATGTCCAGTCTTTTTTAGTAGCCACTTAGTCACAAACACTGGCCAAAATTGGCGTTTTTTGCATTTTTCACACACAAACAAATACTAACGCTAACTTTGGCCAGTGTTTGTGAACAAATGGCTACTAAAAAAGACTGGACATACCCCATTTGCAATACCTTGGGCTGTCTACTATTGCAAATGGTATGCCATTATGGGTGTACATTTCATTCCCGGGCTACTATACAGTCTCAAAGGCAACATCTGGCGAATTTCAATTTCAAATGTAACGTGCTATATTTGACCCTGTAACTTCCCATTTTTTTCATATTACATTATGTTTCATAGCTAAATATTTGATATTAAATGAAAGCCATTGTGGCAAACCTAGCCACTTGGACTATAACTGGACACTATGCCTTTAAGGGTTGCCTATAGGTCTGGAGAGATATGCGTTGTAACCTGTATGTGTATGCTTCATGTATTCCCTGCATTACCTGTAATTATCTGTTCCGCCGAATGCAAATGGCGGTTTGTATGGGGATTCCCTTTCGTTTCACGAATGGCACTTTGGAGGGCCGTTCGTGAACCGAACGCAAAGACCCATAATAGCCCACACACTTAGAGGCGTGTGGCGCTAGTTAACTGATTGCAACAATGTTGCAATCGGTAATTAGAGGCTCTCTTTATTCCTGAATAAAATGATATATAATAAGGGTGGGTGCATTTAATATGAAAGAGGTGAATTACGGTTGGACAGACATGTAGCGCAAATGCCAGGTTTTGTTTACATTTTGTTTTGTTCACAACGTGTACATTTGGCTCCGTCCTTAAGGGGTTAAATACACTTAATCTTATTAAGCACTATTTATTTTGTCTCCCACGTTGGAATTATTGTAGTACCCACCGATATCGGCGCACTGTGAATTAGTGGTGGGCTTAACACAATATGGCCATATGGTGGAACTGAATCCCAAAATTTTGCTGAGATAGATCATTTTAAGTAGCCTTACAGAACTCAGAAAAATATGTTTATGTGTAAGAAGTTCCTTAATCTGTATATAATATCACCAGCTTCATTGTGCAAAATCAACATAAATAGACATTAAACTCTTTCCCTGTGTGGGACTCAATCCAACATCAACAACTTGAAGGTTTGCCAAGAAATCAACAGAAATGATCTGCGGAAAAACTAGTTTCCATTCTCTTTTAAGTATCTAGAAAATAATAGAAAATGATTGTTTTTTGCAGTATGCTAATCAACTACGAGGAGTATTTCTTTTTTGGTTTGTTAAGTACGGCCAAGTACAATCATCAAAAGAAGCTAAAATTACAGTAACTACAGTAATTTGCTTTAGGAGAAGCTGTGGTTAGAAGAAAAATGTAAACTTTAAGATACATGACATTTTATTCCCTGCTAGCTAGCCTCTATGCTTCGGGTTGAAACATGCAGGCTACTGAATTCATTTCTGTATTTTATATTTTCATTATTACTATTATTATTTTATATATCACAAAAACAGTCTGCAGCACAGTTAAATTGTTGTAACAAGACAGCTTGCAAAAGGCAGTGAAGGTCCTAATGTGACAGCAATCGGATGAATTCGGAATCAAGGTTGGGGAGGACTATTTTCAAAAACAGACAGGTATTCTCAAAATAACAGAGATCCCGTTCGAAGGCTACGTATTAACTATAGATAAATAGGGTACAAGATCATTCACCAAGTCACAAACATGGTACGACATACCAATGATCTGACAGCAGTAGTATATTTTGGATTTGTGCTGCCCTAGGCACGACTAAATTCGGGCACCACCAAAATCTAAATTTGCCCCCCCAAATCGTATCAAGGCCATTTTTTTGACTGACCGACACATGCCCTTATTGATACATGCACTGATATACAGTCATTGGCACACACTGTTTAACCAACACACATTTTCACTGACAGACACACACTGACACACCCACTTACTGCCAGGCACATACTCTCAGATACACATAAAATGACATACACACACTCACAGGCACACCCATTCTCACTCACAGACACACACTGACAGCTACACTCACTCACATTAAAGTGGACAGCCCCAGAACATGAGGCAAACAATGCATTTGTCTGGGAGCTTGGGGTGGCATTTTTTTGGCGCCCCCCTGAAAGTGCCACCCTAGGCAAATGCCTTGTTTGCCTTGTGGTAAATACATCCCTGTCTGACAGGCAGATCCACATGTCCCAGATTTCAGTTCCTGAAAAGCTAAGGTAACAGGGACCCCTCCCCCAGGCTCACTACCGAGCGCCACATTGTTCAGGTGCTGGCCAGGAAAATAACCCACAAGTGGTGACAGTACTGAAAAATAAAACAGAAAGAAGGAAATAGACAAGGGTGGAGGGGATTGATCCTCCTACTAGGATGCCAAGATTGAGAGAACAAAGGCAAGCAGTAATGACCCTTAAATAATTTAGAAATTCCCATCATTTACAGTTCTGAGCACCAGTCATGTCATAACTCATAGGTATATTCTTTGTGGGCATGTGAGGCAGTTATAAGTCACGCCACAAATAGAGAGGAATAGGCATTATGACAGTACAGTATTGCCAAAATAATCTGTGTCAAGACAGAACGACAAACAAGCAGACAAATAGACAAAATTGGGGTTAGGGTTAGTGTTTTTTTTGTTGGGGCAGCACTGAGAAATGTTAAATTACAGGTAAACAGCTGATCCTCATTATTTCCTCAGCTCTTCTCCCCGTATATCATTATCAGGAGAGGGTCTGAGTTAAAATGGCCGCATTTTGTCATACAGACAGAAAGACATTATGTTGAGAGTTGTTACTTAATGTTATCCTTACAATGCTTATTTAGCTTTTTCACAGTTTCCTTCTTTTTGCTGTCTCACAGTCATTGTACAGAAACCACTGAATTGTTTCAGCAGAAAAAGAATGACCACAGCATCCTTTGGGTGGGAATGACCAGAAATGAACCTTTTAATCCATGTTTGGTTTACTGATCTGACCTTTCTAAGACAGGAAGCCATAAGACACAAGGCTAACAAGCTTTTTTTATACTATTATAATTTATGTTATGTCTGGTTTTTTTTGTGTGTATATTTATATCATTTAAAAATAATATTAAAAAGAGTATTTTTGTATTCCCAGAATATCTGGTGTATTATTACTATAACTTGATATCATACTGTTGTTAGTAATAATAAACTAGTTTTATTTTATCATTTGTGAAAAAAAATTATGTATGGCTTACCCAGGTGTGTCTAACATGAGCACTTGAAGCAATATGTTTATTGGTGTCACAATTACACGCACTGTCCAAATTTAGTTTTTTTGTTTTTTGCTACTCACATCAAAAAGAATGAAATAATGAGTTCATTTTAAGAATGGGTTTTTTGCTGCTGCGGTTCACTTTTTTTTTTGCACACTTTGTTTCTATTATTAATTTATTAAGATCCTAAATTTTTGCATGGATCGAACTCCATTTATGAGCGTAAGCAGAAGTTCTTAAAACCAGGTTTGAGTAGGATTTTTATAGCATTTTATAGCATTTATAGCATAGCATTTCTTGGTGCAAAGGAGTCCTTGTCTGCTAAAAGCAAACAAACAAAAACACATTGAAAGAATGGAATTTTAAAACAGTTTTATCTTTACTGTGTTCTTCACATATTGAGACAAAAGAGTTTTGGTTTTTTTTAAATATAATTTGGAGCAGAGCAAGTGAGATCTTGTTTACAATTAATATTTTCCTATAAAATAAAAAACATGTGGGTGTTGACTTTCTTGTAAACTGCTCAGTCTGGAAAATTAAATTGTAGATTAATTCTAGAGGTAAAATGTGTCATGCACAAACAATTGACTCAGTCTGAAAGTGAGCCATACCTATACACAGATTTAATTTGACCTATCCATCACCTGCCCATACACTGTGCCATGAACCATTTCAAAAAAAGGTTCATGTACATGTGCATGAGACTGAAACACGATCTCAAAGACATTCATTTATAACAGGTACACAGTGATACCATTCAACTCCCACACATAAAGTGACTTCATTGTTGTGTATAATATTGTGAGTGATTGACTAATTCTACCCAGGAAAGCCCCATTCTAGAGAAAGATGCGTTGATCCTGAAGATCTTGAATGATTCAACTAAACGTGATTGCCTTTCTACATTTAATGATACATCAGTCCCTGGTTTAATAAATGGTATACATTTATATTCAGGAACATTATAATTTACATATCATATATCAGAGTATTTCAAAGAAATCATGATATAATAAAATATATTTCAAAATTAGGCAAATCTAAACCCACCGTGTAGTTTGGGAAGCACCGGCTGGGATTATGCGACATAAGGAAACAAATATCGTCAGATAAAGCCACCAGATTCCAACCAAAGCTGATTAAAATAAGCCGGAGAATTGTGGATGGGCACTGCACTGTTTGAAACAAGACTAGTAAGCATGGGAGTATAGATATTTTCACAGCACTAATCCATCCCAACCATGAAAGATCCTGATGGACTCATTTATGCAGGTCACTCACCACCTGTAATAACTGGCTGTGTTTTTCTTTAGTTGAATAAGTCTTTTATGTATATATATATAGATATTTCTTCTTATCTTCAGTTGATTGATATATATATACGTCTTTTGTATATATAGTCTTGGGCCAAATGCTCGCCACAATAATATATGTCTATATTATTGAAAATTAGTAATACGCAATCTGACGTTCTTTATAAAAAAATGAGTATTTATTCTACATTCAACAGGAAACAGTTATATATACTTAACAGATGGTAATTCTTAACGATGTTACAGAGAGTCGTCTTGACATCAGAGAGGAGAGCAAACGGATCGTAGCAGGAAGAGCCCGTAATCCTTTGTCCTTGACTCTATATACTCCAAATTACGTCATAATGTTTAGTTTAGACCCTGCCTTATAAGGAAGTTCCCTATATAAAGACCGCCTCAAATCTCTTATACAGCAAATTCCAGAGACCTCATATTACAGAGTAGCAAACACCATCTGTTCTGTTTAACCCATTAGACAGCCACACCTTAATATGTATTTGAATAGGAACATACAGAATATGCAATATTCTACACCACCGAAGATAAAATTAGGGAGGATAAGCCACCTGTACCCAATGAACAGAGATGTTGAGAATTTTTGATTTAGTGTAGTTAATCTTGAGATTTGAGACTGAACCATAAAAGGGAGAATTTATCCAGAATAAGCCGTAAAGAAGCCATTGGACAAATAGGAAGTCGACCTCAACATCCAGACTCTGTATCAAATTCAGAAATTGCTCCAAGTTCAGGGAGAACAAAAGGTGGGATATTGAAGGGATTTGATAAATCACTGTTGATACGAAGCCTTGCCAACAGTCAAGCTTACAGTGTTTCCACCCAAGACAAAAACTTGGAACCCAAGCCAAACTCCTGCAGGTCAGCAAACATAAAGTCTTAGTCCACCCTGTCAGAAATTGTATTTCTGCACATGCACAAGGTTTGGGAGATAGAATGTAATGGTAGAATGTTGGAGTGTTGGAGTCGAATAATGAGTAGAACTGTGGCTGGAGGCTGAACTACATCTCCGTTTAAACCTCTGCCACTTGCAGATATAGGCCTTTGTAAGGATATTGTCAGTAGTTTGTCATAATTATATGCAGTAAGAAGACTTGCATTAGAAGCACAGTATTACCCATCTGTAGATTTTTAGGGTTCACTAACTTTATGAAAAGAGACATTTGTTCTAGTTGCAGCTGAGAGGAAGCACGCAGGTATTGTTTTTTAAAAAGATATACAATTATTATATCAGCAGATGTATTTTTGCAAGACCCACCATAGCAGGCCTTCTAACTGTCCCAATTTTCAGTCATGTCCCGCTGTCACCACTTAGTTCCCTGGTGTCTTACTATTTGGGACCCCAAGAACTGTTCCCAACAAGCATTACATGAACGCATCACTAGATGTGCTTGTGCTGTGTTCAGGGAACAAGGACCCTGCAGGGATCACTGGAACACTGCTCCCTGCTTGGTCTGCCTTCCATGAGATAGCCTTATATGATCTGCATTCACGCCAAGCTGGTCTACCAATAATTCGGGTGGACCCTCTCGCTCTGGGCGAGTCTGTCCTCTTTGGGCAGAGCCTGTGATGAAATTGCTCTCCTCCCTTTACCCCATCTCATTGGGAGTTAAGAGTTATACCATAGGTTTGAAAGGACAAATATTTTTTGTAAAATATGTAAGACACATCATGTAATTATGCACATACAACTGACACAATCTGCAAATGGACCAAATGTTCATCCTGCTTTGTTTTAACCAATCCATCACCTTCAACTAGACTGCACATTATAAATAAACATGTGCAGTAAAGAATGTGTGGGAAGAAAAATTCCATTATGCTTTTCGTACCAGGTACATAATGAAACCATTGTACATCCCTACACATAGGGGGGGTTAGTTCACTAAACTCTGCGTTGTACAGAATTACAATTCAGATTGTGAAATTAAGACAAAAACAGCTGATTTGTAAACTCCAACTCAGCTGTAGTGAGAGTAACCTAACCTTAACATAATTGTTACTGCAATTTTGGAAGTTAGAGGACTTTGGTACCATTTAAAGTTTAATGAATAACTATTAAATTGATGACACCTTTTTGATTGTTAGTAAAAACTAATACAATTTTAGTTCGCCCAGAAAAGTCTCATAAAACCATATACTAGATGAGGGGTTACCAACCCAGTCCTCAAGTACCGCCGAACAGTCCAGGATTTAGGGATTGCCCAGTTGTGTGCAAGGTGTTTTTAGAAAGAAAAGAAAACACTTTAGACACAAGAGGGTAATCTCTAAATCCTGGACCATTTGAGGACTGGATTGGGAGCCCCTGTTCTAGCTTAAACGTGTACACAATTGTATGACATTTTCACAGAGGAAGTCAGGATTGTAGAAAAACTGTTTTGGCATTGAGTATTCGCCCAAAGTTGGACATTCCTGGTTTCATTACTCACTGCTTCAAGATAATTTAAAGGGTTTTAGCAGTTACGCTTTTTTCATAATCTAAGTATTATTATTATGTTATTATTTATATAGTGCCAACAAATTTTGCAGCGCTTTACAATGGGTGGACAAACAAACATGTAGTTGTAATCAGACAAGTTGGACACACAGGAACAGAGGGGTTGAGTGCCCTACTCAATGAGCTTACATGCTAGAGGGATTGGGGTAAAGTGACACAAAATGTGAGGATAGTATTAGACTAATGACAGTTGCAAGAGAGGAATCAGTCGGGAGCTATTAACAGTTTAATTAATACTCTGTATTGAGCTCAAGCTGGTGTTTTTACAAAACATTAAAGATAGGCACCTTAACCAATACAGCTTGCTGAAGTGTTTATGGTGATATATAAATATAGGCCAAACTCCTTTCAGCTGCACTGATCATGTGGAAACATGTCTGCATTATCAAATATGATTCCTTTCAGCCAGGAAGGCATTGCTGGATTGAGATTATCAAGGGTGGGCTAGTCCAAACTTCTCAGCCCATAATTATCATCAAGTTGGAAGGAATCACAAGTAATAATATGATAACGTTTCCAAGTGTAGATTCTGCATTATAAGTAGGACTGATAAAGAAGCAATCAAACATTGTCATTAGGGTAATATTGTAATGTATTCAAGGGCTCACTTGTTAACGGATATCAGATTATCTTCAAAGACAAATTCTTAGCTTTGATATCTGACTAAGAGACATTCCAATAAACCTTTAATAAATTAACACAACTTTCATCATTGTATCAATTTAACTAGAAATTAATGCTATTTGCACAAATTTTGTAATGAAATATTTTTTATTAATTTATTTTATGCCTTCTTGTTCCAGGAACAGATTGCTCATAAATGTCTCTTTAGCCAATATCCAGAGAAGCGTGTTTGAAAAACCACAAATCACTAATTACTACAGTGCAGTAATACAGAAAAGGCATCATGAGATTGACAAAGATAATGCCAGTGGTTTGCCAGAATTATGCCCATTGGTAAGCACTAGATGTGGTACATTAACCATCTTAAGCTTGCTGGCTTTAAGAAAAGAGAAATATGTACATAAAAAGCTTGAAGGGGGAAAGAGATGTGTTTTTTTTTGTTTGTTTTTTACAAATCAGGAACAAGTTGGGGTTTTACAGCATCGCATACAAGTGAAGAAAAGCAAAATTTACATTAACAGTAGAACCATAATTGTTTTACATCGATTGGGCTACAATATAATGCGGGTGGTTGAAATAAGAGATCATTTATTTGCCATTTATGGCATGGTTATATTTTCCGCATTTTTTGCCATAATGTATGTATAATTCATTGCCACGTGATCTATTGTACTTTTTTTCAGTCCACTAGTATCATACACATTAATTCAATATGGTATTATTAACATTAAATCTTAGGTCCAAATAAATATTTTTGGAAGGGTCTGCATTGTTTTTTAGTTATCTGAATAGGCCATCCATACTGGCTAGACTTCAGGGCTGTCTTTCCCCATGGGCACTCTAGGTAGTTGCCCGGGGGCCCCACAGGCATGGAGGCCCCACCACGCTGCCCAGCATGTCTAGGCTGACAGGGGAGATCCTTTAAACTCCCCTACCGGCCCATGGAAAGCCGGCCCTGCTCTCTTGCGGTGGGCCCTCTCGGGCCGGTGGGAAGATCAAAGATCTCCCTCACCAGCCCAAAAGCTCTTGGAGAGAGGGGAGAGAGAGGGCGGGAGGACCCGGAGGCAGGAGGAAGGACCTGGGAGGCAGATTTCTCCTCACACGAGCATGCTGTGTGGAGCATTGCCCCCGTTGCCATGGCAATGCTCCACACAGCTCTCAGCTCGGGAGGAGTGAAGACAGCCTGCAGCCAGAGGAACTTCACTAAAGGTAAAAAGAAAGGTGGGGTGGGGGGAGATGGCATGCAAATTTTATTAATGTACATTTAGTATTTAAAAAAAACAAAAACATTTGTTCCATGCACCCCTTACATTCTGCAACACACAAACACCACCTACCCACAGCACCTTACACACACACAGCACCCCTCACTTACAGCCCCCTCGCTTACAGAACCTCTCACACACGCAGCACCCGTCACACACACAGCACCTGTCACACACGCAGCACCCCTCACACACACGGCACCTTCCACACACACAGCACCTTCCACACACACAGCATCCCTTGTACACATCACACACACACACAGCACCCTCACACACTCACAGCAACCCTACATGCAAACACATACACTGCACCCCTCACTGCAGTCTGTGTGTATTCAGCAGTCTATGTGTATTCAGCAGTCTGTGTCGATAATTTACATTTTTATTCCTGTGAGTTGTTGTGCAGGCAGGGCCCCAGTGCACTGCTTTGCCCAGGGGCCCATAATGGTGTTAAGATGGCACTGCTAGACTTTACACCAATCTTTAATATCCAGTGCTGTTTATGTATTGCCTATTATATTTTATTAAAGTTATAATGTCAGAAATGCAAATAATCTGAATTACCGAACCCTTAGCAGTATCTATTAATCAGGGTCGATTATCCACGTTCACTCGCAGACTTCGCAGATGTTGATAAATTTCTATGATTGACAAGATTACTAATTAGAAAATAATTATAATAGAGACAAGAAGTCTTGGAAAACACGCAACCCTGATGGTCTAAATTCTCAAGACATTAGTCAATTTACAAAGATAATGCTTTCTGAAGAAAAACAACTAACAAGTAAGCACATTTTACTCTGAATTAACCTGTGGTTTCACTGATTAAGCATGACAAATATTTCACATCATTTGCTAGTGACTACAATGAAGATATAAATTAAGCCTTCAAATCTCCATTGACTAATTAATGGGTAGGCTGGGTATGCGTCATCTCCATTTATATTCATTGTGGCACTTGGAAAGAACCACGTAGATCGTTTTTCATTTAAGTGGGTTTCAAAAGAGATTTCAATAGCTCATGTATCTGAGCTGGTTTAGTATTCACATTGGGAAAGCCTTTTGGAGTGACGAGACTCTGTGATTCCAAAGATTGAAGTGTAGTGCAGGAAATAGGACAACTAATATCAGAAGATCTGCATGAGGTCGTATTTAATTAAAGTGACAAGAAGGCTAGCGAACATTTAATTAAATGATATTCCAAAGTTTTGAAGACCACCTTGTTAACACAACGGGATGCATTCACTCAAGTCCAAAATGCACCCGGTCTTGAATTAAAAAATATTATCTGAATCTATCACTGGGTATTTGAAATGAAAAAAAATTAAAAATAAATTATTACATTTACAAGAGTCTTGGAATTAGTTTGAATGTCGTCTGGTCGTCTGGACTTCAGCCTGTACAGATCCCAACCAACATTTGAAATCCAGAGCTGAATTATGGATATACGCAGCTGAATGCTTATTATTCATAATTATTATTGATATTGTTATTATTACTATTTCTACTATTTAAAAAAAAAAGAAAAAAGATTTTCTATTATTGCAACCGTTTGCAATTTCATATGGTTGGCTTGCAAAAATCAAATATTTTTGTGAATTTGCCTGCTACTGAATTTGATGTATGAGAATCCAGTGTTGATTCGTTGTTTGATAAATAGGAAATTCCTGTTTATTGTGCGTGTAATTCACGTCAGAAATACCAGATGTGACTGGATTAAATGAGCTGATTTGGTCGGCATGACCAAGGTGACTGAATTTACCGTTAGTGAACATGTGATTTGCTTATTCAGTCCAAATGTGACAAAATCTGGACTTTAGCAAATAAACCCCAGATAGTTTAAGGCTCTATCTATTCTCAGGGGCAGTTCTGATGGAGGTTCTGTACTAGATTAGAGATATATCCTTTCTGCATGGTTCAAAAAGTTTGTCTGTGGAGCAGAGATCCAAAGCCTACAAGGAGGTATCTAAACCTTCCTTTCTTCATGAACCTATCTGCAATAAGGCCAGGATCCAAACATAATAACTGATGTGTGACCATTGCTTTGTATTAGGAAACTAGGCCTGTGAGATGTCACATAATATAATTTCTGTAGACAGAGCCAGATTAAGCAGCTTTGGCAGCTGTGCCTGTATCTCTGGAACTTCCAAGACAGGTGCCAGGTGGAGCAATCTCTATGGTTGTAAGGCTGCCCTGCCCTGAGCCCCCTCACACTTTGAGGGAGAATTCTGGTCTGCACCAATACAGGTACAGTCAAAGGAACTCTTAAAGCGAACTGCACTAACATTAGTGCAAACAACAATGCCCCCCCCATCAGAACACCAGGGTTTCAGTCCCACTACGAGGGATAACAGTCTCCTCCTGCCAAAAGATAAGCAGGAGGGGGCAAAATAATAGCTTCCCCAAACACAACACACACCTCTCTCTGCATACATGTCTGTACAACTATCCATGTAAAAAAAAATGTTTCTGATATGTAT